AAGCAATGACAGCTCTGTTTACAGAACAATACAACCAAGAAAACACACCAACTTTCCTCTCTATTCCTTAGCTATTCTTAGCAAATGCAAAATGCAAAGCATTCCTAGGATACACTGGCTGATGGCCTAGGATGCTGGCTCCATTCTTCCACAGGAGGCAGAAGAGTCCCACACCGAAAACGTACAACAGAGATGGTGACGTCAACGTGTGCACACGGAAGCACTGAGGAAGCGTTAACATTTGAGCTATGTGTGCAAAGCCTAAGCCGTTTCCCTTGGATTATGGAAGAGGTAGATCATCAGCAGAAATGGACAGAAGAAACGCTTCAGGAGCGTTAAAAGAGGGTGAAAAGTCCTATCAGCAATGTGGATTTGCGAGTCAGCAGATACATCCACAGGGTCTCAGCAGGACTGCGCCCATCATACAGCCTGTTGGACAAGGCCAACCAGCATCTTCTCCCGCAACAGCTCAAGGACTGGCAAGAGGCAAACCCAATAGAGTATCCCGAGTTCCCTTGTCATTCAATAGAACTGAAACAGGATTTTTCTAGGAAACCATCCCTATCACAGAATCCTGCTCAGCCAGGGCTGGACTGCGTACCCGATACATTTCACATTCTAGAGCAGAGTACCCTTTTAACAAGCCTCTGCACACAGACGAACAGTGTCCAGATCACCTGCCGAGGGTAATTAAAACACATGAGAACCTTTAAAGGATCATTTCCCATCACACAGAGCAGCCGCAGAGTCTAGGGCAATGGCAGACACAGAATCCACATCACGTGTCTTTCCTGCTATCTAGATGGTTAGCACTGCTTATTCCACTCAGTGGCAGGTGCTTCTGGCTAAGTTTTTTAATGAGAGTTCCAGGCACCAAGGCCACCAGGGCAATGGCCAATAGCTTCAAGATGGTTTCCCAGGAGAAGAGAGCATCCAAAGAGGTGAGGGTAGATAGGATGGAGCCCGTCTGGACGCAGATGAAATTGTACGGGATTAAACCTGGAAGAAGGAAAAGTGGAGACAGGTCATTAGCAAGGGCAGGACACACGGGGAAACACCACTGAGCAGTGACCAATGAACAGCGACTCCAACTGTTTGTCCCACTCTTGACCCCTAAAGATGCTACCTCCTTCCATTTCCTCCTTTCCACTCTTTTCCCTCCTTCCCTCACTTCCTATACTCACCTACCTTCTCCAACAAAAGACCATAAGGTCTTTTACATCACTATAGGGAAGACCTGCAGTACAAAGGAAGAGATTCAGCCAGAGGGTAAGCTGACAGAAAGCGCTGATGTCCACACACTCGCTGAAGGTGGGCCCCAAGGGTCAAACTGGAGAGAGGAACCCAGCATGAAACCATCAGTGTATGACGGAAATACTACTTTTCACATTTGGCACTCTAAAAAGTCTGCAAAGGCACTGGGTCCCAACATCTGTCCGGGAACTGAATAGCAGGTGGTCTAACAATCCCTTCGAGCCAGGCAAGGAGGCACCTGCTTATAATTCAGGAAGCTGAGGCAGGATCACTACAAGTTCAAGGTCAGTCTGGGCTCTATAGAGACCCTATCTTAAAAATAAAAGTAAAAACAAAGCATTCTCAGGCCCCATGTGATAGTGTATGCCTATAATCCTTAGAAGGCTGAGGAAGAAGGAAAGTTTGAGGCCAGCCTGGGCTACAAAGCATGACTATGTTTCAAAATTAAAAACAATGATTAATAATAATAAAACGAAATATATTGTCAGGCTCCACCTCAGAGATCCCAGTCCCTCACCTCTTGGTTAAAGCCCAGGAACCTGCATTTTAGAGGACTCCTATCCTGAGCTTATGATTGGCTGAGATCCTGATAACCCATTTTTCTACTATAGTATACATTGCATATGGGAAATGAAGATCACAGACCACTCAAGGTCACAGAGCTTGGTATTCAGGAAGCAACTCAGGTCTCCAAAGTCTTTCCAAACCTGGTAATGACAAGCTGTTAACTCTGAGGTACTCTGAAAGCTTATGTGATCAGAATTGGCTATGGTCGACCTTGCTCCAATATAAGATCTCAATTTGTCTCAGGCATTTCCTATTAATAGCAGCTGCACCACTTCACATTTGTTTTGTTTGACCTAAAAGCCCTGCGTGTCTTTCCCTCCACGCTCCTTTTTTTAAAATATTTTAATTATTATTTATTTTATGTGTATGAGTGTATTGCCTGCATGTATATGAATGCACCCGTGTCGTGCAATGCTGCAGAGGTCAGAAGAGGGCTTCAAATTCCCCTGGAACTGGAGTTAAGGATGGTAGCCACCATGTAGGTGCTGGGAATCGAACCCAGGTCCTCTGCAAAAGCAGTCAGTGCTCTTAACCGCTAAGCCATCTCTCCAGCCCCCTCCCTCCACACTCTTAAGAACAGTCTGAGTTTCAGGAATTTCTTTGCTTCAACCTTAAGGAAGAGGGTGGTTTACTTCAGTGTGGAGAAGAGAACGGTCACTGGTTTGATAGGGAGTTAGGGCTTTAACATTCCAAGAGAGGTAACCCAGGGCCCACACTACAAGAAAACATTGCTCCAGTCCCAGCTTTTATCTGGTCAAGCAGCTTGTGAAAACAGGTAGCATGCTAACAGACATGTAGTTATCAGAAGACAAAAAGGAGCCTCCCTGATGACAGCCCTTCCCAAGGCAAAGCTTGTTCAAAATGGGCCAGAGCCCTTCTTTGGCCTTCCACCCTGCTCTGCCTGCTGCACTTCATGTGCTCTATGGAGATTACTGCTGTCCATCTAGTGCCCAGCACATGCTTGACACACAAGAGTACTAACTACAGCCACAGAATGAACAACTTTAGTCATTTCAAAAGCACTTTTTGGATTTTCATGTAAGGCAGAGTAGGTTTGAAATCAGGGATAACTCTGTCAGGTGCCAGGCTCGAAGATGCTGTTGGTAAACTGTCTTCTTGGAGGCAGGCACAGGCCCAGGTGGCAGGTGACCGAGGGCAGTCCCCTATGACAGCACTGAAGACTCAAGCTCAGCAATCACCCCCACCATCTTACCAATAAGAACTGAGAAGAAGAACTGCACAATGGGGATGTTCAGAATCGGGGCTGATAGGTTCAGGAACCAGTTTGGTGTCATGGGGAAGAGTCTCAGAAACAGTAAGAAGAAGAACAAGCTGCTTCTGTTCTCCTCCACCTGCAGAAAGAGCCAAGGGTCAAGATGCTGGACATGTCTCTGGGCATTGCTCTAGATGCTGTTTGGCCAAGGGTCAAGAAGCTGGACAGGTCTCCAGGCACTGCTCTAAATACTGTATAATGCATCCCATTCCTCTAGGGTACATACGTTTTCCCCATTTAGAAAACACAAGTAGTAGCCTGGTGTGGTGGTACACACCTTTAATCCCAGCACTTGGGAAGCAGAGGCAGGAAGATCTCTGTGAGTTCCAGACCAGCTGGGGCTATAGGGAGACCCTGTCTCAAACAGACCAAAAAAAGAAAAGACAAGACAAAGAAAACACAAGTAGCAGCTGGGCATTGTGGCTGACACCTGTAATCCCAGCACTCAGGAACTCAGGAGACTGGAGTAGGAGGACTGTGAGTTTGAGGCCAGCCTGGGATACATAGTGAGTTCCAGGCCAACCTGGGCTAGAGTGAGACCCTGTCTCAAAAAAACCAACAAATTAAACTGGGTGGAAAGATGGCCCAGCAGGTAAAGCACTCACCTTATGAGCATGAGAACCTGAGTTCCATCCCAAGCACCTACATCAAAGTCTAGTGCAGGAGCACAGGTCTGTAATCCCAGGGCATGGGAGGCAGAGACAGGAGGATCCCTGGGGCTTGCTGGCCAGGCAGTCTAGCCAAATCAGTGAAAGTCTAGCTAGGTTCAGTGAAAGACCCTATCTCAAAAATCCATGATAAAGCGTGACTGAGGAAGACACCTGAAGTTACACACACACTTGTACACACATGCACACATACCTACACACAGGTGCACACCCATACGTACAAAATTAAACAAAAACAATATAGTACCTGAGAATCAGAGAAGTTAGGAACTTACTAGAAGCCAAGAACAGGTAATGACAGGAGCTGGGATTAGATCCCAGGTCTGTGCTTCCTAAAGACACCAAAAGAACCCCCTCCAACTTCCCAAGTATTGTGGGAAATCCCTGTTTCTCACTCCTCTCAGACAAGGGGAGGTGATGCTCAGGGACCCATCACTCAGATGTGTTCCCTCCTTACCTTCTTCTGCAGCAGAGCTACTTTATCAGGAAAGTAGGAGATGACCAGCTGTTTTCCAAAAATACTGGACAGCAGGTAGCAGCATGTGGCGCCCACTGAGGTCAGTACACAGCACAGAAGAAGTCCCAGCCATGGCCCAAACAAGGCACCAGCCAAAACGTTCTGAAAGAAAGCAAAACCTCAGCCATGACAACATCTGGCCACTGCCAGAGGCTTGTTCTAGAGCCCCAGTCATAGGTGCCGTCACCTTCAGTGGTTTCTACAGTCCAAACCCGGTGTCCATTATAAAGAGACGAACAACAGAAAATGCGACTACAAGTCTAGTCTCAGTCCCTTCACCTTTAAAGCAGGATAAGGGCAAAGCTCAGAGGGCATGAGCAAGTTAAAAGGGAGATGGTGCACGGACATCACTCAGCAAGGGCCGCAGTATACCCTACAATCACTGGGACTCCAAAAAGGGGAAATGGTCAGGTGTGACAATGCACACCTTTCTTCCCCGCACTTGGGAGGCAGTGCAGGCAGATCTCTGTGAGTTAAAGACCAGACAGGGTTACATAGTGAGGCCCTATTTCAAAAAAGGATGTGGGGGCAGGGGGGTGTTAAATTCATAAGCTATTTTTACTATTTCAAAGACCAGGAATTTGCCTTCTGTAATCTATGTAAGATGTTTTGTTTCTATGTTTTACATCTACATAGAATGCTAACACCAGGGGTTCCATGTTGACAATAGCTCTAGCTGACATTTAAAGCCTTAGTTTCAGAGATGGAAAAGCAAACCAATACTTCATAAATCCAGTTTACTGGCAAACATCCTGCCAAAGCATGGACTCCAAGAAAGAAAACAAAAGGGAAAAGCTGGGTTTTTGTGCTGGCACAAATCTATAATCCCAGCGCTTGGGAAGCTGAGGCAGGCAGATTACTTTGAACTTGAGGCTAGCCTAGGATACAGAGTGAGATCTTGTCTCAAAGCATGAACAAGGGGCTAGAGAGATGGCTCAGCAGTTGAGTGCTTGCCATGTTGCAGAAGACCCAAGTTCAGTTCCCAGCACACACATAAGGTGTAACTCCAGCTCCAGGGATTCAATGCCCTTTTCTGACCTCTGCAGGTACCTGCACACACGTGGACACATACACACAGACACATAAATATACAGAAAATAAATCTTTTAACAGTGAGATGTGAAGAACTGGTGTATCTTATTTTTATTTTTTAATTTTATGAGTATGAGTGTACTGCCTGCATGTAGATAAGCAAGTGGTCCTCACTATACCTGTGTCTTATTCAATCCTTACCCCAGTCTGCAGGTAAAAGACTAAGTCTCACAGCCAAGATCACACCAGGCAAGACCAAGACGCACCCCAAGTCTGGGTGTGAAGCCACCCCCCGCCCAAGTAAGTAGTAGCTGGCTCTGCCATGAAACAGAATCAGCTCAGAGGGAAGACAATCCAGGGTCAGCCCTGAAATCCAGCACCATCCAGCTCTGTGCCTCTCTTGGATATGTTTGCTTTATTTCCTGTTTCCAAACCCAAATCTGTCCTAATCTGAGTCTGGAGTAGAGGGAAGCAGGATAATGGGAAGTCTGGAACACCAGTAAGTGCTGAATGCCCACCCATGCCAGCCTCTCAACACTCATGTTTCATTTCATCCTCCCAAACAACTACAGGGGCTTCTGGAGGAGTGGTCCTTTTTCACTGAAAAGGAAACAAGATTAGAAGCCAGGCAGGACACTGACCAGGAAGCTGGAGCCAGGGATGGCAAAGCCCTGTTTGTAGAGGTAGGCACTGCAGAACAGTAAGAACACATAGGCCTGGTGCTCTTTCCGGTACTCTCGAAGGATCTCGGAGAGCTCCTGAAGCTCTGCTAGGTCTGAGGGGAACCACAGAGACCTAGGGGATAGGAAAATCAGATGGAAACACCAGTGTAAAGAAGCCTAGTACGCAACTGCATGTCAGAGCAATGTGGACTTTGACAGCTCAGGTGCGCACAGTACCAGTACCTGCAGCTGCCACTTGCCTTTCCTACAGACATAAAAAATAAAATTAAATAAATAAATAAATAAGAAGCCTAGTACCTAAGGTCACTGTGTCTTCTTTCCAAAGTAGGTTTATACACAGCCCATCATTTGCTCATCTGGGAACACACATGAGATGACGTCAAGATGAGAAGTGACCCAATACAACACAATAAAGGAGAGTCCTGACTCGGAAGCAAGAGCCCCTGGCTAGCATTCCCACTCTATTTTCCAGTTATGTGAACATGGGCTGGTCCCTCATTTTCTGTCTGTACAAATATGTGTGCTGGGAAAGCACTAAGTTTCCTTTTATTATTTGTTTACTTGCTTTACTTAATTTATTTATTTATAGGCTTAAGATGGAACCCCCATGCTAAGTATGAACACTATCACTGATCTACTTCCCCAACCCCTTTTAAATCTATTCCTAAAAGGCATGTAGATTTTTTTCCCAGGCAAGTACTGGACATCCTAAATTGCCTTCCTTTCAAGGCAACCCCTCCCCAGCAGCCTGGAACGATTGCAAATTAGCACATTGCCTTAGAGGTACTAGGCAAAACAACAGCTCCATCATTACTAAGAAGCCAATTAAAAATTCTCTGGAAAAGTCTATCTATCACACACCATAAATACCGGTTTCTTGGAAATTACAGCAGGCTTGAAACCAACCCTTTCCAGGAGTCTCTTTTTTCACCCTGCTGCAGCCTGGTGCTGGGTGCACTCTTGATTCCTGTCCAATGGTCACAATGGAAAGGCTACTTGCCTCTGCAATCTCAACCATTCTTGACATTCATCAGTGATTAATAAGGAGCAACTTCTAGTTCTCATGAGTACCTCTGACACCCACAATACCGCCTTTTCAGTTCCAGTTTAAAAAAAAAAAAAGTAAGTGAAAACAGCTGTCTTAATAATCGGATGTCAGTAATCCCTTGGTAATGCGACGGTGTATGCCGGCCACACTTCAATGCACTTTTTTAAAGTAGTATGCAGCAACAAAAAAAACCGGCCTGGTAGGTATTCTGCCTTCTGGTTCGCCTAGGTCAGGGGAAGCTGAGTCAGGAAGGAAGAGGGCAGACCCGATCCATAGCCTCGTAAATAATTTGAAGCCGGTGCTGTACTTCTGAAGACCTAAGGCCTTTAAGCCTCCGGGGCAACAAAGTGGGCTGGGCAGAGGAGAGGGCCTGAACGTGGCGGGAGGGGGCTGGGCGACGGGAGCCCAGGATCGGCTCGAAACCTCGGGCAGGAACTGGAAAGGCGAAGCCGTGCGGGCAGAGGATGGGGAGTAAGCTCCGCGGGGAAGGCCCCGCGCGGCTCCCGCCCATCCCCGCCCAGCTCTGCAGGTTCCCCACCCCGCGTCGTCCTCCCACCGCTGCGGGATCCAGCCACGCCGCTCGCCAGGTCCTCCCCGACCTCCACCCCGCCTCCACGCACCGGCCTCCGGGCTCCTCCGCCGAGGCCAGCCGAGGCCCCTGGGGCAGCCGAGTGGACAGCAGGTACAGCACGAAGGTGCAGCCGGCGAAGACCAGGAGCAGGCCGAGCAGCGAGCGCATGGCACCGGAGAGCGGGCCGCCCGCGCCACAGCGCCGACCCCGACAGGCGCGCGGACTCCGCTCCCGGAACAGGTTCCGCACCGACCGGGGCGGAGTCCGCGCCAAGCTCCGCCCACATTCCTCTGCCGGCCCCGCCTCCGCCAGGGCACCGCGAGGGTCAAGTCTGTGCGCGCTGGCTCTGGGCGCGATTTTCCTCCTCCCGTGCGGAGGCTGGAGGTTCAGCGGTGTGTCACGCACGAGCCTGCCCACGGCCAGCTCGCAGAATAGTGGTCAAGAGTCCACGGTCTCTGTCGTGTCACACCAAGCAAACAGCCAACAAATAGAACTGGGAGCTCCGGTGGCAAGACGGCAATAGTGACCGCGGCGGGGGGGGGCGGGGACCGCACAGCATCTACTGTGTTCTCATTCTCAAGCCTCATGACCACTCTTCGAGATAGGTATTTTTGTCTTAACGAATGAAAAATCTGAGTCTTGGGGCTGGAAATGTAGCTTACTTAGTGCTAGAGCTCTTGCCTAACATGTGCAAGACCTTAAACGGTACACATCTGAGTCTTAGATTAAATGATACTGGATCTGGAGACCATGGCGGTATATTGCTGTGATCCCAGCACTTGAGGAGGTAGAGGAGGTTCCTGAGTTCAGTCATCCTTAACTATATGGCCAAATCCAGGGCGGAGGGAGGGCAGGAGTGAGGGAGGACTTAAAAGGGCCCAAAGCCTGTATAACAGATATAAAGCACTTCAGAATACTTCTTTGGGCCAAATAGGGAGCACATACAGGACCCTAGCAATTGCACATCTAAGAACTTAACCCACAGATACTCCCACAGGTTAAAAAAAAAAAAAAAAAAAAAGGTGTGTTTTAATGGTGTTCTCTCTGCTCTGTTTTGACATTGAGAGATTGAGAGCAACCCAAATGCCCATCATTTTGGGACTGGCTAGTTTTATTATGATATGTTCACAAATAGAATACTAAGAAGCCTGCTAAAAGAAGAGCAATTCGATATAACCTAATACCCCAAAGATAGCTAGAATAAAATTAGGTAAATTGCAGGGTTAAGAATGTACTATGAAGAGATCAGGCCAGCCTCGTTTACACAGTGAGGTCCAGGCTAGCTGGGGCTACAGGGAGATATTGTCTCAAACCAACCCCCAACAACAACAACAACAGTGTTGGTGGCCGTTCACACAGGCTCTGCACCAGTGGCAGCAGGAACTGGGATGCTGGCCCCTGCCACATCTCTTAGGGAACAAGGGCTGGGCAGCAGGCACATCCAGGAGGTAACTGAGCACCCCACCACACCACACCCCAGCATGCCACAGGATGGAATGAGAGAACTGACTCTCACAAGGTGTCCTCTGACCTTCACACATGTGCTGCAGCATGTGTGTGCAAACACACAATTTAAATAAAATAATACATTTTTAATAATGTTCGGAACACAAGCTGCTTACTAACAAGCATGCATTCATCTGTTTTCAATATATATTTTATTGAATTTTTGTGCATTTCATATAATACATTTTAATCATATTTAGACAACCTCCCCTATCTGCACTCCTCAGTGTGAGTTCATCCATTGGAGCCTGGTCAGCCCATCTAGCATCACTCCCTTAAAAAGACCAACTCTCCCTCACTCAGCAGTGATCAGCTGCCTATAATTGTTCCTCAGCTAAGATTGGGGCTTCTTGCCCATTTCCCCAGTTCTATGCTGGGATTTTGTCTTGTTTGAGCATCCCTCTGCTTTCTGACTGTGAATGAGACGTGACCAGCTAGTTCAAGCTCTTACTGCCTTGACTTTCCTATCATGATGGACTATACCTTGAACTGTGAGCTATAATAAACCTTTTCTCTTAAGGTACTTTTATTAGGGTATTTTATCGCAGCAATAGGAAAAGAAAGACAACGTGGATTTCTACCATTTATGCAACATTTCTGTCCATTTCTTTACAATGGCAGAGCCCCGGGATAAAGAGGAAGATACTGGGTCATCCCGACAGTGGCCACAAGTTAGTGATGGGTGGCAGCCACTTTCATACTGGGCATCTGGGCCCTAGTTTTGACTACCTTCATTCTACCCTCTGTCTCTGGCCCTCTGGGATTTCTTAACTTGGCTGCAACTGTCATTCATAAATATTCAGAGTTGCAAATACTCCATGGAGGCCTAAGAAGGCTTCCAACTTCTGCGTGAAGGTTTGCATGTGCCAAGAAAAAACTGGACTATGCTTTTAATTTACATTAGCCACATAAGTTAGAATATCACACCAAAATTTAACCTTAATCCCCTCTAATAGGTGGGGTTATATACAGTTGGGCTGTTTTGTTTTTTCCTTTTCATTTTGCAACTCTGCATTTTAAAAACTTTTCTTGAATGACCATGGATTATACCAGTGGAAAGGAAAAGGAAACATTTCTTAAAGGTTGCTTAAAATGAGTGTTGCCTGGAGCTGGGATGGAGCAAGTGGTAGGGCACTGGCCTAGTATGCTCAATTCCAGAACAGCAAAAACAATTCTGTAAATGCGCCTTCTGCACCTGAGGTAAAAAGCAAGTGCTTTCCTCTCCCACCTCTTGCTCTGTCCTTGCCCTTGTGCTGTTATACTCCTCCTGCCTCCTCTGTCCTCCTTTCCTCCACTTAGTGTCTTAACATGGCCCTCAGGGCTATCAGCCCATCCCCACCACCTCTGACCATCAACATCACTTCAGAAAAGGCAGAAAGCCTCCTTGCCACCCCAAAACAGCCCAGGAGTGAGGCTGGTATTGAAAAGGAGAGGCTGCCTATCTATACATGAGAGCTAAGCCATATCAAAACAAGCACATATTTCATATTCATCCACATGTCACAGAAATGGACCCAAGGGTTTCCAAAACAGCCTTCACAGACTGGCCCCCAAACCCATGGGCCCCGTGAGGTAGTCTCTTTCATTCTCCTCTTCATGCCAGGATGGTGGAAGATCTGGCACAGGGAACATGGAATCCTGGTGAGGCCTCCAGACTGCAGTTTGTGCCAAGATGTTTGACCTGCAGCCCTGAGGGGCAGAAGCGACCAGTGTCATGTGACAGGCAGCAGAGTCAACTGTTCGGAACAAATGAAGCCCCAGGACACAGCCAGACAAAGGCTTGGCTGTCAGGAGCCTGGATATTTCTGACTTGCCCTAGTTAGGGGCTCCCTTCCTAGCACTGTTTCATAATCACAGGTCATTTGACAGCTTTCAAAGTGACATCTGTAGGACACTGCTGAAAATAACTTTGGTTTTGCTGTACTTTTTGAGCTTTGAGGACAAGGTGGTATGAGGCTTTAAGAGCCTGTTAATGTAGTGATCCTCGCGTGGCTGTTGCCCATGCATGCTAACAGCAGTTACACCTGCAGCTTTGGGCACAGAATAGGCTGGAAGAAAGTCTCAACGTTTTCCACCAGGACAAGATCATACCGACACAACTGGGGCCTGTTAAAAAAAAAAAAAAAAAAAAAAAGATCTTTGTCAATGAAATACTAAAAACCCCACATTCAAGCTGGGGGTGGTGGCACACACCTTTAATCCCAGTACTTGGGAGGCAGAGGCAGGCTGATCTCCATGAGATCAAGTTCACCCTGGTCTGCATAAGGAGTTCCAGGCCAGCTGGGGCCTCAGAGAGACCCTGTCAAGAAAGAAAGGGAGGGCAGGAGCAGGCCAGCCACATTCTAGTCAGGTGAGTAGCATCACCCCTAGGTGGACTAGGTTCACTTATTTTGAATGGAATGGCAAATGGCTAGGTGAGTGAGCCATCAGCAGCAAGAAAACAGGATGTGAAATCTGACTCAGCACTCTACTTCACTGTTTTATTTTTTTGTTTATTTTATTGTATGTGTATGAATGTATTGCCTGCATGTATGTAAGCGTATCCATGTCGTGCAATGCCTGCAGAGGTCAGAAGAGGGAGTTGGATTCCCATGGAACTAGAGTTATGGACGGTTCTTAGCCACCATGTGGGTGCTGGGAACTGAACCTAGGTCCTCTTGAAGAGCAGCCAGTGCTCTTAACCACTGATCCATCTCTCCAGTCTGCTACTCCAGTCTTGATCCTCCTCTGCTTTCACTGTGCCCAGTTTCTTTCTTTTTATTTTTGAGACAGGGTCTGGTTAAGTTTCCCAGATTTGCCTTGAACTCATTCTGCAGCCATTAGTGCCTGAACTATTGATCTTCCCACCTCAGCCTCTAGACTAGCTAGGAATGCAGGCCCACTCTACCAGGCCCAGTTTAAAACAAAACAAAACAAAACAAAACTGATTTTAAGATGTGATGAATAGCCTCTGAAAATAAACTTGTATTATTAAATATTTTCAGTACAACAACTTAAGTGTTTAAGTAAAAAGAAATTCATCACTCAGGAGGCTGAGGCAGGAGAATCACTACAAGTTTAAGGCTAGCTTAGGCTACATAGTAAGACACTGTCTCAGAAAGAAAGAAAAGAAACAAGAAAAGGAAAGAAAGGGAAAGGGAGGAAAGAAGGAGGAAAGGGAAGGAAGGAGGGAAGGAAGAAAGAAGGAGGGGATAAAGGAAGGAAGGAGTGTGCTAAGCCCTGCCTGTGACTCACCTCTCTGGATGGGTAAGGGACCTCAGCTTCATTCGAAGGACCCTGAGCTTGTACTTTGGGCCTATTACAGATCCTGTAGAGAACAACAACGAAATTGCTGCCACTTTATCCAGATCTTGGTTAAATCTTGCAAGCAGGCTCACTTGATGATATTTATGAAATGCGGCTGGTTCGCTGGAAGGAAGAGATGGCATTTTAAAATGAACATAGACCGCTAATGAGAGGAAGCAGCTATGTTCCCTGCAAATCTTTGGCTAGCAGGCCACTTGATCCCAGTTCCTGCACTAGCTGACTTTCACAAAGACCACTGACGCCAAAGGACCGCCTGAATGAAGATAGCACCTCCAAATGTTGTTGCAACTGTCTACTGTGCCCACATCTCTTGGCACAGCGCTCCAGTCACTAGAAACACTTGGCAAGATGGGTACTGTTTGCTTATTTTGCCAAGAGGGCAACAGCTACTTGTGGAGCTCAAGCTGTCTACATGGTAGGACTTACACGAAGCGGTGCAGAGATTCAAACAGCTCAGAGATCAAAGGTATGGTCTTCCCATTAAATGGCATTACTAGAGGTAAATGTATAATTCTGTCCAAATTAGACACTAATGGAGAAGTTGTTCTTAAGATTACTTTTCAGTCCTCCTGTTCAAGATAAACCTTAAAATGGCTAGACCAGGGTTGGAGAGATGGCTCAGTGGTTAAGAACACTGACAGCTTTTCCAGAGGACCCAGGTTTGATTCCTAGCGCACACAACAGCCAACAACCATCTAGTTCCAGGGGATCCAACACCCTCTTCTGGCCTCTGTGAGCTTTGAACCACACAGGTGCCTTACATACATGCAGGCAACACACTCATACACATAAAATAAAAATAAATAAATCAAAAAATGTAATGGCTAGACCTAGGCTACAACACTTTTTTTCCAAGTGCATGGAGCTTTCACAAGTGGAACCCCAGTAATCCTAAGGCACATTCCTTGTTCCTCTGAGGAGCAGGAGAGAAGACCATGGAGAATTGAGAACACCCTGGGTTCAGGACACTGGGCTGGCTCTAGACATGGGTCTCAGGTTGTAGAGGGTAAGGGGTGTACAAAGGTGTTTATCGCCCCATCCCCATTGGAACACACCCAAGGCTGGAGGAGTGCAAAAGTACCACAAGAAAAAGCCACCTGAAAGGTGACCAGACTTGACTGCCAGACACCATCTCCACAAAAGGAACCAAGGCTCTGGAGAGACGGGCAAGTCAATCCTGGGACAGGGAAGGGATAAAGTGATCTTAGATTAGCCTGTGTGCCAGAAAGGAAGTACTCCAGAGAGTGACAGAAATGTTTGAGAGATCACAGAACCCACTTGCATCCATCAAGATAACAGTTCTCTCTTCCTCTCACAGATAGTTTGGGTGAAGCCAGAACCATCATGCACTGCTGTGGAAGTGGAAATCAGTGTGATGACAATGAAACAGTGGGGAGTATGTCAGAAAATTAAAGCAGAATTAACACATGAACTAGCAATCTCACTTCTGAATATATATCCAAAAGGAGGGTCTCAGAGATGTTTGCATACAGTGGCACAGGGTCTTATTAGACAAGAGTTGGAAACAACTCGTGTCCATCAGTAGAAAAACAGATGAGTAAAACATGGCACGTACATACAAAAAAATATAATCCAGCCTTAAAAATGAAAGAATGAGAGCTAGAGATGTGTGCTCTTGCAGAGGATCCAGGTTCAATTCCCAGCACCCACATGGTGGCTAACAACTATCTGTAATTCCAGTTCCAGGGGATCCAATGCCCCCTTCTGACCTTCACAGGTATTGCACAACACAGGTGCACTTACACACATGCAGGCAATACACTCATACACATAAAATATTTTTAAAACATGAAGAAATGAGGCAAGTGGCTCATAAGTCCAAGGCTAGCCTGGGTACAGAGTGAGATTAGGGCCAGCTTAGGGAACTTGGTAAGAATATGTCTCAAAAAAAAGCAAAAAGAGCTGAGGGGCATAGCTCAGTGGTAGAGTGCATGCCTAGCATGCATGAAGCCCTACATTCATCACCACATGAACTGAGTGTGTGGCACATGCCTGTAATCACAGCACTTGGGAGATGGGGGCAGGAGGATCAGGAGCTCAGGGTCACTCTCAGCTATGTATCATTCAAGGGCAGACAGCCATTCCAATAGCCTGTGTCTTTGGACTGAAAAGTTGGGCCATTGATATTTAGAGTTATTATTGAAAGATGTATATTGGTTACTGTCATTTTAATTTATTTGTGTTCTTGGTACTATTTTTTGTTTCTGTAATTATACCTTCGTTTGTTTTCTTTCTGTAACCTCTTGAGTATAGTCATTCTTATCTTCAGTCCTTTGTATTGCTTCAAGTATTCACTGTGGGCTGGTTTGGTGGACATGAATTCTTTCGGCCTATTTGTGTTATGGAAAATTTTCTGTTCCCTTTGGACTTTGGTAGTTTTGCTCAGTAAAGTATTCTGGGTTGGTACCCATGGTCACTTAGAACTGAGAATACTTTGATCCTGGGCTCTTCTGGCTTTCAGATTTCCGCTTTGGTTTACTCCCTTCAGCACACGGACCATGCAATACCCAAGGCTGGTTCCTCAAGGTGTGCTTTACAAGCCACCTTCAGACTGGGGTGTAAACTAGGGGCAGAGCATGTACTTCATGAACCAGGCCCACGCACCTTGGTGGCTTCACAGGGAGCATAGTTGATTCTGGGAGCAAAGGCCTGGGTTCAATCCCCAGTACCAAAAATAAATAAAATCGAGTAGGGGACCAAACCTATGCAGACTGCCTGAAAGTGCCTGAATCTAGCCTCTGAGTGGTGATGAGCTTCCCAAATCACACCATGTGCATCCCCCTACACTGGGATCACAAGTGGCCCCTCCCACTTCCTCTGGGCTAGGCTTCCCTGCCCAGGGGCCTAGACCTTTGCAGACTGCCTGGGAGTGCCAGGATCCAGCCTCCTAGTGGTGGTGAGCTTCCCAAACCATGCCCTGCCTATGCCCCTACATTGGGACCACCTGCAGTCCATCCCACCACCCCAGGGCTAGGCTTCTCCACCCTATAGTAGGGGCCCAAACCTTTGCAGGCTGCCTGAGAGCACCTAAATCGGGCCTCTCCTTAGCGAGCTTCCCCAATTGTGCTGTGGCTGCTCTCTAATAGGGCCCCAGACCTTAGGAAAACACCTGAGAGTACCTGACTGGAGCCTGACTTGGACCTCTGCAGGCTCCTTGAGTAGCTGGACTGAAGCAATCTGGTCCTTCAAATACAAAATCAAAAGAAAGAGCCTGAAGCCTAGACCAACCAGCTTTATATACCCAATAAGAAAACAACCAAGGCATACCAATAATACAAACAGAAGCAGACTTCAACTCAAAAAAGGAAGGCTTGAGTTTTATACCAGAATCACAAACAACAAAAGAAAGCCACATGCCAAAATCACAATGGAAAAATAATAATATGAAAAAGCAAAATACTATGTTCCCACCAAATACCACCAGTCCTATAGAAGAGTTCTACAATGAGAACCCCTAGAGATAACCCAGGACACAGAATTTTAAAAAAATCATAAACACGATCAAAGAATTCAAAAAATTTTAAAGAACACACAAACAAAATCAAAGAGCTAAAATTAGATAGGAATAAACTTCTGAGTGAATTCACAAAAGAGATAGAAATATTGAAGAAAACTCAAGCTGAAATGAAGAAGGAAGTGCAAAACTCAATGACAACATCACAACAGACACCAAAAAGATCCAGAACATTATAAGGGAATACTTTAAAAACCTATACTTGATTCAATTTGAAAACATAAAAGAAATGGATGAATATCTAGAACCATTGGACTCATCAAAGCTAAACCAAGAAGAGATCAACAGTTTAAACAGACCCATAACATATAAGGAAATTGAAACAGTAATACAAAACCTCCCAACTAATATAAGCCTAGGCCCAGATGGATTTACAGCAGACATTTAAAGATCTACAGTCAACACTACTTAAATTACTCAAAAAGATAGAATAGAGGGAGAACTCCCAAATTCCTTCTATGAAGCCAGCATCACTCTAATACCCAAAGTGGGTAAAGACACAACCAAAAAAGAAAACTATAGACCCATATCCTTAATGAACATAGATGAAAAATTCTCAACAAAACACTTGCAAACCACATACAGACACATATTTAAAAGATCATTCACCATGATCAAGCAGGCTTTATTCCAGAGATGTAGGGATGGTTCAATATACATAAATCAATAAACGTCATCAATCATATAAATGCACTCAGAGACAAAAATCACATGGTCATCTCAATAGATGCAAAAAAGGCCTTTGACAAAATTCAGCATGAATTTATGATAAAAGTCCCAAAAGGAATGGTACTAGAGGAAACATAACTAAACACAATAAAAGCTATATACAACAAACCCACAGCCAACATCATTCTAAATGGAGAAAAACTGGAAGCATTCCCATTAAAATCAGGAACCAGACAAGGATGTCACTATCTCCACTCCTTTTCAACATAGTGCTTGAAACTCTTGCTAGAGCAATAAGACAAGAGAAGGAAATTAAAGGAGTACTAATTGGAAAAGAGGAGGTCAAATTATCCCTTTTCGCAGATGATACTACACCTAAGAAATCCTCAAAATTCCACCATAAAACTCCTAGAACTGATAAACACTTTCAGTAAAGTGTCAGGTTACAAAATTAATCTACAAAAATCAGTAGCCTTTCTATATACCAATAACAAAGAATCAGAGTAAGAGTACATGGAAACCTTATCATTCACAATAGCCTCAAAAAAAATCTCAGAATAAACCTGGCCAAAGACATCAAAGATCTCTATGATAAAAAAATTAAATATAAAGAAAGAGATTGAGGAAGACACCAGAAGATACAAGGACCTCCCATGCTCATGGATTGGAAGAATTAATATTTTGAAAATGACCATCCTACCAAAAGCAATATACAGATTCAATGCAATCTCAATAAAATCCCCAAGGTATACTTCACAGAATTAGAAAAAAAAAATCCTAAAATTCATGTGGAAGCACAAAAGACCCCAGATAGTTAAAGCAACCCTGAGCACAAAGAGCAATGCTGTGGGGAATACTATACCAGATCTCAAACTATATTACAGAGCGACAGTCATAAAAACAGCATGATAACTGGCACAAAAATAGACACATGGATCAATGGAACATAATTGAAGACCCAAACCTGAGTACACACAATTTCAGCCACCTGATATTTGACAAAGGTGCCAAGAACACACAATGGAGGAAAGACAGCATCTTCAACAAATGATGCTGGCAAAACTGGATCTCCACCTGTAGAAGAATGAAACTAGATCCTTATCTTTCACCTTGCACAAAAGTCAACTCCAAATGGATCAAAGATCTTAATGTAAAGCCTGAAACTGTTAGAAGAAAACACTGGTGGTAACCTTTAAGATAAAGGTGTAAGAAAGGACTTTCTAAATCCATCATCAGTCGCTCAGGAATTAAGGTCAACAATCAATAAGTGGGACCTCATTAAACTAAAAAGCTTCCGTACAGCAAAAGAAAAAAAAACAAGAAAATGAAGAGAAAACCCACAGAATGGAAGAAAATCTTCACTAGTAACACATCTGACAGAGGTTTAACATCCAGAATATATAACAAACTCAAAAAACAAAGAATCAAGAAAATAAATGATCCAATTAAAAGATGGGCTGAAGATCTAAACAGAGAGTTCTCAAAAGAAGAAATAAAGATGGCTAAGAAAAAAAAATCTTTAAAAGTTTTCAGGGTCTGGAGAGATGGCTCAGTGGTTAAGAGCACTGCTCTTGCAGAGAACCTGGGTTTGATTCCCAGAATCCACATGGCAGCTAACAAGCGTCTGTAACTCCAGTTCCAGGGGATCTGATTCCTTCTTCTGACCCCAGTGGGCACTGCACGACACGAGTGCACTTGCACAATGCAGTCATTACACTCATACACATAAAATTTTTTTAAAAAGTGTTCAACATCATTAGTAATTAGGGAAATGCAAATTAAAACCACCTTAAGATTTCACCTTACCCCAATCAGACTGGCTAAGATCAAGGGAAAAAATAATACCAAATGCTGGATAGAATGTGGAGAAAGGGGAACACTCATCCACTGCTGGTTGGCTTGCAAACTCATACAACCCCTATGGAGAGCAGGGTGGAGAACTCTTTAAAAACTAAAAGTGGGGCTGGAGAGATGGTTCAGCGGTTAAGAACACTGGTTGTTCTTGCAGAAGACCCAGGTTTGAATCCCAGCACCCACATGGCAGCTAACAACTGTCCATAATTCCAGTCCCAGGGGGTCCAATAGCCTCTTCTGACTTCCATGGGCATTGGAGGTACACAGGTGCACTTATCTACATGCAGGCTATATACACACACACATAAAAATTTAAAAACAATAATAAAATTTTTTGAAAAACTAAAAATGAACCTACCACATGACCCGGTTATACCACTCCTTGGCATATACCCAAAGGACTCATCCTATTGTGGAGACACTTGTACAACCATGTTTGTTGCTGCACTTTTTCACAGTAGCTAAGAAATGGAAGCAACCTAAGTGCCCCTCAACTGATGAGTAGATAATGAAAATGTGGTGCGTTTACACGATCGAGTTCTACTCAGTGATAAAGAAAGATGTGATCATGAAATTTGCAGGTAAATGAATGGAACTAGAAACTGTTATACTAAGTGAAGTAACACAGACTCAGAAAAACATATGTTCTCCCTCATTTGTAGATCCTAGCACCAAATCCTTATATATGAGTATATACCCTGATGTAACCACAGGAGCCAGGAAAATGGGAAGTAGCCAGGGAAGTAAATGGAAAGAAGGAACCCAAGAGAGAAGAACAGTAGGAGACAGGTGTTACTAAGGGGAAAATGTGTAAAATTCGGGTAAATGAGAGCAAGAGAGGGAGGGCTACACAAGGAACTTTGGGGATAAAAGGGAAGAAGGAGCTCAAGAGAGGTGGGACCATAGCAGGCAGCAATTATCAAGGGAGAGATGCCGAAAATGGGGACATTTTAAATAGGGAAGGCATGGGGGGGTGGGAGTTAGGGAAACAGAGAGGAGAGATAAATAATGCCTAGTTAGTATAAAAACCAGAGGGAATCATATTAGTTCAAAAACCTACTGAAAAATTACACGTACGATATCTCTACATGAGTCTGTGTGTATAGCTGAAGGCTACATAACAAGAAACAGTGCCAGACAGGAGAAACCTTCCTTTGAATTGTTGGCCAGGGTAGACCAAGAGGCTTCCATAATTACACAGGCTATCGCCACGGCCCTTGATTGCCTCCCAGAACTTGAAGATAAGACCCTATTGCTGAAGACAGGACGCACTTCTGACACAGGATTTGGAGAAATGGAGCTGGAACTGACCTGGAAGGCACTTGCCCTGAAGTCTAGCTCATAGCTTTGGAAAGCACTATGCAAAGTGGTAAGGGAGAACATCAATTGATGGTCCGACCCCAGCTTCAAGGTCTAATAACCACATCAATGACCCGCATAACAAACAACATCGGTGCAGTAGTGGCACTTTTATCTTGGGGGTAATCAACAGCTACCTAATTGGACTTAAAGCCCACTCAATGGGGGAAACTCATGTGTGGTACTATAAACCTAGTCCAATACATAGCCGGAGAGGTAACAGATCTTAGAGAAAACCCCAAGGTGCTCATATCCCTAGACAAATGTAATTTCTTACTATGTGCAAAATATGGACCCATAAATTTACAGAGAAGTATCCCAGTCACCACCCATCAAAAAGGAGTCTTTTTCAACAGACAGAGATTATTAGAGTTCCACAATTGGTCATACACAGAGATTGTGAATTTTCCAAGCCTATGTGGCACATCTACGATGCAACCTCTACTCCTAAGGTCACAGAACATAGAACAAGGGATAAACAGAACACTAATGCATCTTTCAGTTCTCATCAATGAAGCTCCCTCATGCAACAGAGGACCAGGAGCACAAAAGGTCACAAATGGCCAAAACATAGAAAATAAGAGTTTACAGAGTGTGGGTCCTTGGACAAGACTCCTGTATTAAAATCCACCCACCCAGGGCTCAGGGACCATTACAGAAGAGGGGGTAGAGAGATTAGAAGAGCCAGGGAGGAGGTACATGACATATGAAAATAGTCCTGCAGGGTCCTGGGACTCTCCTCATATGGAACTACAGCCATGGTATCAGCATGCACAAGACCCATGCAAACTCAAGCAGACAAAAACTCATCACAGAACTGTGGAAATGGACAGCAATCTTAGTCAAAGAACTATTGGCAGCTGATTACTGCTGGGTGAGGAAGAGCTGATCTTCTTGAAGAGGGGAACTCTAGATAGGCTAACTAGACCTCAGGAGATGAACTTCCACTGAGGGACATCTGGGGACACTAATTTGGCGTGATAAGCCTTAACACAAATGACAGAATGTATAAATTTCAGTGGGGGAGCTATGGGCAGGTGCCAATGGGGAAGGGGGTATAAAGTCAATTACGATGTTCTGTGTGAAATACACAAAAATTCAATTAAAAAATTTAAAAATTAAAATAAATTTTTAAACATTTAAAAATAAGTAATAAAATCATCTCCAACCCACCCACTCACACATGTTGTTTATCTACAGTGAACCCAGAAGGTTCCAATGACATTGTTTAGTTCTCTATGCTTGTGATCTAGAGATGACCTAACCACCTCATATACAAGTCTCAGGAAACATTGTGTGTTTGAATAAATGAATAAAATAAGCCCCAAATTCCTTTGCTTAAAGTAAAGGGTGTCTCCCTGCTTTCCCTGATTATAAAAGCAATAGATGGGAAAAGTATTACTATTTTAAAGCTGTGCACACACACACATTACAGAGCACTGAAAAGTAGAGTCAGGTATGGGGGTACACAGCTGTAATCCCTACACTTGTGAGGCTGGTTGCAAGACTGTGTCCCAAATGAGTATACAAACAAACAAATCAGTAAATGAATAAGTTGTTAGATGGAAAAGGAGACGTTTGAAAAACAGAACCTGTAAAGAAAGCATTCGTTCTTACCCTGGACTTGAACGTTCATCCTGTATATTCCTCTTTTTAAATTAATAGTATTAGTATTGACAAGTTATAACTGCATAAATCTATAGAGTATGACTTAAGTTCTGATATATGTATACAATGTGAAATGCTTAAATTAGCACATCAATTTTCTTACGATTTTTTTTTAATGTTTTGTTCTTTTGTGACAGGTCTCACTATATGACACGGCTGGCCTGGAATTCCCTGTATACACCAGGCTGGCATCACATTTCTTTCAATCCTCCTGACCCTGCCTCCTAAGTACTGTGTCACAGACATGTGCCACCTGCCTATCTAAATCAGCATATTCCTTTATGGTTTAAACTTTCCAGTAAAGCAAGGGCGATTTTTATAATTAAACAATCACAGGAAATAAATAAAGAAGGAAGAAAAATGCCAATCAGTAAGAAAGACAGAGAGGGAGGTCACACAAAGGAGGGAAGAGAGAAGAATGAGAGGGAACGAGGGAAAGTGAAGGAAAGGAGGAAGGAAAGAAAGCCATTGTACAATGACAGCTGTAGAAAGCAGAGGGGAGCAAGCGGCAAGGGGAACACCTGAGCATTGGGTCGGTCCCCTTCTGCCTTCCGTATAACAAGGGAAAGTATGCATGGGTGAGTAAGAAAATGGGTATGTTTGGAGCTTAATCTCTCTGAGGAAAAAAGGAGCTAGCATACTGCAAACTCACAGCTCAACTTACTGATCGATTTTGGATTCTGTGATGTTTCCATTTTTGTCTTTCAGTTTGATTGTAATGACCCCTCTTCTTACATTCTTGTTCCAAGATACAATGTCCACAAAATAATGATATACTGTAAAACAGGGAGAGAACCTTGTAAGCAGTTACCTCATGCTGTTCAGGATGGTCAGTTCCTGAGCCAACATCCCTCTTCTCTTCCTCTGAAGTTTCTCTACAAGATCCAGGAAAGAAATGTCTTTTCTCTTTAATTTGTTTTTAGAGACGGTCCCTTAAACTCACTGTGTAGCTGAGGATGACACTGACCTTCTGAGCATCCTTCCCCTACCTCCCAAGGGCTGGGATTATAACAGTGCACCACCACTCTGGGCCAGGGTAGACTTTTCTAGTGTCCCTTGCTCTTCAATTTGGTAAGGACAGCATGAGTATCAGCAGAGTCAGTGTCTTCCAGCCGCATGCTCAGGTATCACAAACGCCTGTTCATAGGCAGGTGGGTCTAGCCTTTTGACATTGCTATATTCATCCACAAAGTTCACACTGGAGAACCATGCAATCAAGTAAAACAAAAAATCACAAAATAATCCCGTATGTTTTAGGTAAATTTATAATTTTGTGTCAGGCTACTCTTATAGATAATGGTCTAATTATAGAATGTTTAAAATATTTTCCTTCTCCATGTAAGTGTTAAATTGGTATACCTTTGGATTGCACTGTATTGAAATGCTTGATTTTAAAAATGACTGAGAGCTGGCAAGATGGCTCATTGGGTCAAAGGGTAAAAGTACTTGTTGCGGACCCTCGCAACCTAAATTTGATCCCTAGAGCCCACATGGTAGAAGGAAAGAACCAACTCCTGAAAGTTGTTCTGTGACCTCTAGTCACACTTTGTGGCATGTAACTAACACACACACACACACACACACACACACAAGTATGAAAAGTTGTAATTACTGTTTGAGTAGCTGACTTGAATTTCATTAAAAAAAAAAAAACCTGTTAAATGAATTTTGGCTTGGAATAAGGACAGAATTTCCAACAATTTCTGAAATGCTCTTAAATATATTTCTGGCATTTTATACTACATATTTATGCAAAGAAACATTCTCATTGGTAATTATAAAATCAAAATATTGATCAACTCTGAAAAATACTGAAGGCTTTCCATGTCCTGTAGTATTAAACATTTAGCCAAGATTTAGCTCCTTATCTAAAAATAAACAGGGACTGGAGAGATGGCTCAGTGGTTGAAAGCACTGGTTGCTCTCACAGAAGACTGGGGTTCGAATCCCAGCATCCACCTGGAGGCTAACAACACCTGTAACTCCAGTTTCAGGGTATCCAATGCCCTCCTCTGTCTTCATGGACATTGCACAACATAGGTACACTTACATACATTCAGGCACAACACTCATATACATAAAATAAAAATAAAAATAAACAGATATATATATTTTATTAGTATATAAATTTGCTTTTGTCTTTACTAAATGGTAAAATTATATAGCAAATAATTTTTAAAATAAATTTCTTTATGATTCATTATCAGTAAATATTTGATTTGTATATGTATTTTATATACCTACATATCTGGGGATACTGAAAACTTTCACAAGCAAAAAGGGTTGTGAGTAGAAAAGCTCAAGAAGCCCTAGTGTAATGCTAGAATTATTGATATTAATGATATCATTATTAGTGATATGGCTGCCACCTGGATTTTCCTGGCCCCAGTTTCCTGGAGGATCTTTGTGGTTACAATGGACATCCAACCCACTGATGCTAACAACTCTGATTTGTTGTTACTTTAACCCTAGAAGATAGGCATGATTATCTCCATTCTACCAACCAGGACCCTTGACATGTAGATTAAAGAGTTTGATCATGGTCACACAGCTTTTATGGATAGAATCAGGATTGGTCTTAGGCCCAAGCATTACCACAGCCCTAATTTCCCAGAAAATATCCAGAAAGCAGAGACTCAACCCTCCTCAAAATACAAGGGCCAGGCAGAGCAACCAACCTATTCACTACTCACTGCAGAATGGTTCGTTCTCAGCTGTGTCAACGAATGCCTTCATCATTGGAGGATCTCTGTCCCTTAAGTAGTCCTTCCATTTGTCAGCATAATACCCTATGAAACAAGTTGGAAATACTAATGTGTATTATCTAAACATGAAAGCCATTGGGACAGCCTGAACAGTTTCCAGCACCCCCCTCCACTCCACCTCCCTCCACTCCACCTCCCTCTCTCCACCTCCCTCTCTCCACCTCCCTCCACTCCACCTCCCTCCACTCCACCTCCCTCTCTCCACCTCCCTCCACTCCACCTCCCTGCACTCCACCTCCCTCTCTCACCTCCCTCCCTCAAAGTGCCACTAGGGCAGTGGTTATTCTAGTGTTCCCTTCTACTGCGTGTCTCCAGCCCTAAGAACTGGAGTTCAAAAGGACCCCACTGTGGCCTTTCCCCTTCACTGGCTCTCAGTAATCGGAAAGGAGCTGGGTGTGGCACATACTGGTTGCACTAATGCACTCATTTCCTACACTAAGCCAGATTGAGATTTCATCTTAAATAGCATCACTATTGCAAAGCAATGGGTTTCTGTTTGTTTGTTTGTTTGCTTGTTTGATGCTGAGGCTAGAACACAGGATCTCATGAATGCAAAGTCCACTCTTTACCCCAAGCTATACCCACAGCTCCTGTGGGTGATGAACATCTATTTCAAGACCTTAAGAATGCTAGGTAGGCACTCTACTAACAAGCTACATTCGTGGCCCTTTTATTTTACTTTTTATTTTGGAACAGAGTCTCACTAAATTATTCAGGCTGGCCTTGAATTCACTTTGTAGCCCAAGCAGACTTTGAACTTGAGATCCTCCTGCCTCAGCCTGTCAAGTAGCTGGGAATATAGGCCTGTCACAGGGCTAACTAGCCCCATGGCTTTCTTGAAGAACCAAATAAGGTCACTAAATTGTACAGAACATGGGCTTGATGTGTAACTATGCCACCAAGCAGATGACTATCTTTCTTCAGGTCAATGCCTGCAGGAGACAACGTTGTGCTGTCCATTTAGGGCCTCTTTCCGCCCTCTGTCTTTACTCCTAGACAAGATTATGACTTATCTGACAAAGGGTCAGCCAGTGTTTTCTACACTCCCAAGGTGACTGCACCACATAGTCGAGCTTGAATTTCTTATCTCTGTGGCGTACCTTGCTGTTGACCTGCATTTTTCCTTTGGGGAATAATTAGAAAAGTCTCATGACCAACCAGTTTTGATGTCCTAGCCATCTAGAATATTTCTACTAACTCAGCAAACATCGTAGCATCCTCCACAGTATCTTTTATACCATCAGAGCCCGGTATGTGTACAGAGGAGCCAGAGTGTGGAGAGAAAGCATTTACAGACACAACCTAATGGAAGGGAGAACTCTGCAGGGTTCATCCAGCACACAGACTTCTGGCTCACCCCCCAGCAGAGGTGTATATACAGAATGGGTGTTCCTATTCCTATTCCAGTGGGAACAGGCTGTGTAGTGACTACACCCTGGGTACGCTTGGAAACTTCTAGAATCTCCTTCTGCTTAACAGACTACGATATCCAGGAAGACTATACAAACTCTGGGTGGAATCCTGTAGAGATTGCTCTTCTAACACTGGATAAATTGATCTTTGTTTGTTTGGACTTTGGTGGTTTGAGTTTGTTGTTATTGTTTGTTTGTGGTTTTTAATGTCTCTCTGTGTAACCCAAGCTGGCCTCAAACTGTCAATTCTCCCCATAAGCCACCGTACCTAACCTTAATACTTTTCATAATTCAGGACTAGAGTAGTTTAGAGAACAAATTAGCTAGGAAAAGTTGATTTCAATGCTTGGCATGGTGGTGCTGCCCTGTAATACCAGCTACTCTGGAGGCTGATGAAAGAAGTTCATAAATTCAAGGCCAACCTGGACTACAGCGTACGCTCAAGGTCAGCCTAGACTGTCTAGCAAAACTTACCTCAAAAAAACAGATGCAAACAAAGCAAAGCTTACTATATCAAACTTTTCTAAATACAATTTTAGGGACAATTTTTAGAGAGTAAAATGACCCTAGAATCTGTTCGAAATTAGCTTTTTGTTCATCAGTGATAAGAACTTGTTGAACTTACCCAGGAGAGGGCAGGACATCATTTGTGGTGTGCCGCAGCTGACACATTTGCCATTCCTGTAATCCCGATAGGAGTCACAGGGATAGGCGGTGATGGCACAGTTCTTGATCAGGGAAGCAAGGTACAGGCGCACAGACATCTGGTGGTCACACTTGAAATACTTTGAAACTCCTTGATTATAGAGGGATCAAGAGTACCGCAGTTGCAGTATTTAACAAAAGCACATCTCACATTTTAGATGTATACCACCACACTTTAACACATTGCCTGAATGCTGGGCATTGTGCTGAAAACTTCAGTGTGCTTGATCTCATTTAATCTTTATAAAAACCACAGATAAAGATTCATGCCAGCCAATGGTCAGAGGAAGATTAAATCTGATTAAGGTTCTTATGAAAACAAAAGCAAATATAAATTTCATTTAAAAACCTAGGATGGTGTTGACAAGATAGCTCAATGATTAAGAGCACGTGCTGCTCTTCCAGAGGACCCAAGATCAGTTCCTAGCACACACTTCCGGCAGTTCACAACCACCTGTGACACCAGCTCCAGGGGATCCAACACTCTTCCAGCCTCCACAAGCACCCACACACATATGACATGCATGTACCTGTGCACACATGTGCACGCACACACACACACACACATTAAATAAAAATAAATCCTTAGAAAAAGAGAAAGGCTTACTTCTTTTTAAGTTTTTGATACTGTTCTAGTTTGTTTCTCCATTACTGTGACAAAATACTCTGACCAATACCAACTTGGGGAGGAAAGGATTTATTTAGCTTACATCTCACAGTTCACAGTTCATCAGGGAGCCGAAGGTAGGAACTCAGGGCAGGAACCTGGAGGCAGGAGCTGAAGCACAGACCATGGAGGAACACTGCTTACCGACTTGCTTCCCCGGCACATGTTCGACCCGCTTTCTTATACAACTAGGACCATCTGCTTAGGGGTGGCACCACCCACAGTGGGCTAGACTCTTCCACATCACTCAATAATGAAGAAAATGCCCCATAGACATGGCCACAGGCCAGTCCAATGGAGGTAGTTCCCCAGTTGAGGCTCCCTCTACCCAGATGTGTCAAGTCGACAACCAAAGCTCTCCAGCACAGATATATTTATTATCTTTATTCTAGTATGAGTGTTTTGCCTGCATGTATGTAAGTGCACCCATGTCTTGCAATGCCCACAGAGGCCTGGAGTAACAGATGTTGTTAACCACCATATGGGTACTGGAAACCAGGTCCTCTCCAAAAGTAGCCAGTGCTCTTAACTGCTGAGCCATCTCCCCAGTGCCAGGGTTTACTTCTTAAATGGGGGGTGTAGCTCACTGACAGGTAGGATACTTACCAGAACCATCAAAAAGGGATGGAGGCTAAGAGATGGCTCAATGGGTAAAATGCTTGCTTCACAGGCATGAGGACCTAGGTTTGGGTTCCTAGCATCCATATAAAACCCAGACAAGTATGTGGGTCTCTAAGCCTAAATTGAAGATGTAGAAATAGGCAGATCCTGGGGGCTTGCTAGTCTAGCAAATCTACCTAAGACAGGAAGTTTCATGTTCGATAAGAGACCCTATCTCAAAAATAAGGTGCAGAGTGACCAACGAAGACAATGTTGAAGAGTGTGCTGGATAGCTTTAGTGTCAACTTGACACACCTGGGTTGAGGGTTGAGGGTTGAGGGAGCCTCAGTTGGGGAATTGCCTCTATTGGACTGGCCTGTGGCCATGTCTGAGGGGCATCTTCTTGAAGAGTGATGTGGGAGGGCCCAGCCCACTGTGGGTGGTGCCACCCCTGGGCAGGTGGGCCTGTGTTGCATAAGAAAGCAGGCTGAGCAGGAGCCAAGGGAGCAAGCCTGTAAGCAGCGTTCCTCCATGGCCTGTGCTCCAGCTCCTGCCTCCAGGTTCCTGCCCTGAGTTCCTACCTTGGGCTCCCTGATGAACTGCCGACCTGGGAGATGTAAGACAAATAAACTCTTTCCTCCCCAAGTTGGTACTGGTCAGAGTGTTTTGTCACAGTAGTGAAGAAACAAACTAAGACAAAGAGTGATGGTGTTTTGGATGAGTCTTGATATTTTTCTTTTATTTCCTTTTTTTTCCCTTTCGAAGGCAGGGTCTTACTATGTAGCCCCAGCTGGCCTGGAACTTGCTATGTAGACCAGGCTGCCTTGAACTCACAGAGATTTTCTTTCTATTGCCTCTCAAGTGCTGGGATTAAAGGCAAGCACCACTATACCTAGCACTTGCTATTTTATTATTTCTTGTGTGTCAGTGTTGTGATCGGCACATTTATTGGTTTTGCTATCTTTTCCAGTTTTATTGGGGGATCTTCCCATGGAGCAGTCTACTCTTGGGGGCTCACTCCCCAGAGCCACTCATTGAGGAGAAAACAAATGGTTATAACAATAGCATTAAACTGTACAAGACATTGAAATATACTTAAGACAAGTTAAATTCCATTAATACATCACCAAGGACAATAAACCAGAAAATAAGAAAACTAATATAGACTGTGATTTGGGGGAGTCTTCTGTCCTCATTCCCTACCAGGGAACCTCATAACCGGAGCTGTGCTCAGCTCAGCATCTTTTCAGTAAGTCACTCATCTTTTCAGGTATCCTATTACTACCTTTCTGAATTTCTGACATTCTGCATCTCTTTGGAAAAGAGTCTTTTTTTCTTTTTGTTTGTTTATTTTTATTTTTATTTTATGTATGACTGTTGTGCCTGCATGTATGTAAGTGCATCCATGTCATGCAGTGCCCACAGAGGACCAAAGAGGGTGTCAGATCCCCTGGAACTGAAGTTATGGATGACTGTTAGCCACCAAGTGGGTGCTGGGATTCAAACACGAGTCTTCCACAAGAACAGCCAGTGCTAGAAGAGCAGACAGTGTTCTTAACCACTGAACCATCTCTCCAGACCTTATTTGTTTTTTGAGACAAGGTCTCATGTAGCCTATGTTGGCCTTTAAAGAAATCCCATTCACAACAGCTTTCAGAGAAATAAAATACCGAATAATAAACCTAATCAAGGATGTGAAAGGCCTCTACAATTAAAACTTTTAAAAAAATAAAAAAGAACACATAAAGATCTCTTATGTGGGTGGTAAAGATGCCCAGGGGATAAAGAGGCTTGCTGCCAGGACGACTGACCTGAGATCCAGAGCCCACAGAGCAGAAAGTGAGACCCGACTCCCACAAGTTCCCCAACTTCTACACATGCATCATGATACACATGTATCCACATACACAAATGCACAAATAAGCAAATACCCATCCACAAATAAGTAAACATATTTTTAAAGTCTCTCTTAGGGGCTGGAGAGATAGGTCAGCAGATACATTGCCTTGCTCCAGTAAACAATCTTCCACCCATGCTCCAAGCAAGAAACTCTACTTAAACTCAGCGGGCCACGCACAAAAAGGAGGTACGAAAGCAGAAGGGGGACTTGAGAAGGAAGGTTCCAGCAGGAGAGGGAGGAGGATGAGAAAGGGGAGTGGGGCCTGAAATGATTACAATTCATTGTTCATGTATCAAACTGTCAGAAAATGCTTAATTGAAAAAAAACTTAGGCAGGTGGGGTGGTGCACACCTTTAGTCCCAACACTCAGCAGCAAAGGCAGGCGAATCTCTGTGAGTTCAACGCCAGCCTGGTCTACATAGTGAGTTCCAAGCCAGCTGGGGCTACAGGGAGACCCTGTCTCAAAAAGACCAAAAAGAGCTTCATGGGGCTGGAGAGATGGTTCAGTATTAAGAACACTGGCTGTTCTTGCATAGGACCAAGGTTAGGTTCCCAGTACCCATATGACAGCTAAGGACCATCCATAACTCCAGTCCCTGGGGGATCCAATGCCCTCTTCTGGCCTCTGTGAGCATTGCAGGTATGGTGCACTTACATACATGCTCAAAACAGACACATAAAGTAAAAATAAATAAATCAAAAAAATTTAAATGAAACTATTACCATGTTGAAACATAATATTGAGGGTAAAGCCCTATTCCCAGGCCATGGCCACTCATATTTGGCTCCAGAATAAATTATCTTTTATATCCCTCATATTTGGCTCTAGAATAAACTTTTATTCCTTTTGAGTGAGTGCTGAGTTTTTTGCATCAACAGAAGATTACCATGAGTTTGTGGCCAGCCTACAGTGAGAACCAGGACAGCCAGGGTCATACAGTCAAGTCCCTATCTAAGAAAGAAAAGACAATAAGGTAAGAAAAAAAAGAGAAAAGAAATGAAAATGATCCTGAACTGTAAAATCTTATGAGCATCTTCTCTTTGGATCTGGTCTCAGGTTAAGTCACTCTCTAAGGGTGTGTAGCTTGGTGGGTGCTGTCCTGGGTGTGTGTGGTCAGCCTACATTGTAGCAATTCTCACTTACAGAATGAAATCTGAAGCCAGAAAAGCAGAACAAATATTTAGGAACGAGAGTATAAGAAGAAAATCAGATTCAGCCTGCAGAGAGTTCTGTTCAGAGGACCTTCCAGGAGGCAAGGAGGGACCACTGAAAGGCCAGTCAGAGAATGGCTGAGACTGGAGGAGCTTTTAAGAGGCCATGCTTAGTGACACCTAGCACTGGAAGCCTTTTGGAAGACTGAGCTGGGAAAAGTCCCTGAGCTCAGTCATCTGGTAGTTGGGAGGCTGCTGGTGACCTTGAAGAAGTCACCTCCAGCAAAATGTGGGTAGGAGCTGAGGGTGTAGGATTCGTCCCTGCGGGTTTTTTGCCAGAAGGTAAACTAAGATGACACTGAAAAAGGAAGAAGTGGGGTTGGGGAGACACCTGTCAGTAAAGTCCCTGTGGGTTTTTTGCCAGAAGGTAAACTAAGATGACACTGAAAAGGAAGAAGTGGGGTTGGGGAGACACCTGTCAGTAAAGTGCTTATACACAGCATGAGGTGGATCCCCAGGTCCCATGGAAAACAGGCAGGCATGTGCTGCCATCTCAGCACCGGGAAGACAGAGAGAGGCAGATTGCTGGGGCTTACCAGCCAGTCAGCCTAGCCTGTTTGGACAGCCCCAGGCCAATGAGAGATCTTGTCTCATAATACAAGGTATGGGACTGGTGAGAGGGTTCAGTGGATAAAAGAGCCTGCTGCACAAGCCTAACAACCTGAGTTCAATCTCTGAAACCTATATAAAAAAGCCAGATGTGGTAGCACACATCTGTAATCACAGCACTCCTACACAAGTAAAATAAGGTAGAAAGAAGAAGGAAGGGATCAGGTGAAGATAGATGAAATGGTCTCTGAGGGGAGACGAACGTTAAGCCCAGCTCATTTGTAAGAGGTGAGGGTGTGTAAGTGGGGAGTTATCTGGAATAGACATGGGAGGGACATTCATTCCGGCATCCGGGTGGCAGGGCTGTTTCTGCTGTCAAGGTGAAGTGAGAGGGTCCAAATGACAGGAGACAGCACCAGGAGGCATGAACGGGCAGGAGAGTGAGAAGCAGGATTCAGCAGGTGCCACGAGGCATGATGGCGGGGTAGGAGGCTGATGATGCACAAAGACAGTGTCAGAAGACCTGGAGGTAATGGTACTAAGCTCCAAAGTGGGTACTAAGTAAGACAAGGATCTGAAAAGGAAACAGTAGAACCTGAGAGGAGTGGGGCTGCGGCTGTGAGCAGTGGCTTGGGGAGGCTCTAGGTTCTGCTGCAATTGGATCAATATTGCTTCTTCCAGAGTTTCCTTCAGCCCATACAGGAGGCAGTGAAGGGCAAACAGATGCAGACTGGGGCCAAGAGGAAGAAGCACGGGGCCGATGGCCACATTGGACTGGGGTAAAACCTGACATGCCAGCACTTCTTATTGCTCCTGGAAATTCCTCTTGCAGATACAGTGCGGTTAGTAACCATGCAGAGGATGCATAGTCTCTCTGTCACACAGGAAAGGATTTGAATCCTCACTATGCTTCAATATAGGTGACCCTACTTCTGTCATTTCACCCAGATCATTTCAAATTTCCAATGAATCCATATACAGCCACCATTTTGTATCGATTATATGTAATTTTTAAAAACGTGTGAATGTATGTATGAGTGTGGCATATGTTGTGTGTGGTACATGTGCACCCTGGGGAGGGTACTCATCCCCACGTGTATAGGCTCCTGGAAGCCAGGAGGAGGAAGGCAGTGTCCTGTTCTATCATTCTCCACCTTACTCCTCTGAGACGGTCTCACTGAATCTGAAGTTAGGTTGGCAGCCAGCAAGCCTTAGTGATCCTCCTGTCTCTGCCCCCACAGCACTAAAGTGGCAAGTACCTATGCAGCCGTGTCCAGATTTTTACACGGTGTTAGGATCTGAACTCAGGTCCTCGTGCTTGTGCAGTAAAGTGCTCTTAGCCACTGAGTCATTTCTCCAGCCCCTAAGTCATCTTTCTTCTAGAAACTTTTTCATGTTTGTTTTACATTCACTTACAGTGGTAAAATATAAATCTAGAGCATTTAGGGATGATAACATCTTTTATTTTTTATTTTATTTTATTTTATTTTTTTTTGAGACAGCGTCTCCCTGTAGCCCCAGCTGGCCTGGAACTCACTATGGAGACCAGGCTGGCCTCAAACTCACAGAGATCTGCCTGCCTCTGCCTCCTGAGTGCTGGGACTAAACATCTTTTTAAAAATATTTGATTTATGGGGCTGGAGAGAGGGCTCAGTGGTTAAGAGCACTGACTGCTCTATGCAGAAGACCCAGGTTCAATTCCCAGCACCCACATGGTGGCTACAAATCATCCTTAACTTCAGTTCCAGGGGAATCCAAAGCCCTCTTCTGACCTCCGCAGCATTGCATGACATGGGTGCACTAACATACATGCAGACAATACACTCGTACACATAAAAAAAAATAAATTAAATAGTTTTAAAATTTTGATTTATTATTTTTATTTTATTCTATATGTATGAGTGTATTGCCTGCATGTATGTAAATAAATTCATGTCATGCAATGGCTATGGAGGTCAGAAAAAGGCATCAGATTCCCTGGAACTGGAGTTACAGATGATTGTTAGTTGCCATGTGGGTGCTGGGGTCTTTTGCAAGAGCAGCCAGTGCTCTTAACTGTTGAGCCATCTCTCCATCCCTGGAATGAGAATTTTTTTTTTTTTTACTATTTTGTTATTTTTATTTTATGTGTATGCATGTATGGCCTGCATGTAGGTAAGTGCACCCATGTCATGCAATGCCTACAGAGGACAAAAGAGGCTGTTGGTCCCTGGAACTGGAGTTATGGACAGTTGTTAGCTGTCATGTGGGTGCTGGGATTTGAACCTGGGTCTTCTGCAAGAACAACCAGTGTTCTTAACCACTGAGCCATCTCTCCAGCCCCGGAGGGTAACATCTTAATTCTGTTGCTTAACCTTACTTTTGTGTTATCCTCCAGCATCCTACTTTTATTTTGTGATTTGAGTTCACAATTTATATTTATTTCATTTTTGTCTTCTCAGGAAATTTGTTTTCTGTTAAAAACTGCTCTGTTAGTATCAGAGTTTACTGACTGGTTGATTTTTTTGAGACAGAGTCATGGCTGGACTTGAATTCTTGATCCTCCTGCTCCTACTATCCTACCTCTGGGATTACAGATATGTGCCATCACAACCCACTAATATCACACATTTTAATGAGCATTTTCCAAACTATCATTTTACAAAGTATATTTACACTTACCTCCAAATATTGTTTTGGGGCAACCGGGTTGATCCAGTCCTCCGTTTGGGTAGAAGTCTATGTTCCCTAACGGTTCCTTGTAGCCCAGTGCTAAAAGAGAACAGTCAGCTTTCGTGGGGCTTGGAGCTTGTGCATTTGTGGTTGCTGAGGCTATCATTGTTGTTACACATACTTAAGTGTTTTGCCCAAAGTTACCAGACAGTTAGCTAACTCCATTATCATCCATTCCAGTAGTGGGAGAGTACAAAAACGGTGAGGGAATTTAATTCCACTAGTTCTAAAGACATGGATTTTGGTCACTTAGACACTGCAGGGCTAATAAAATGATGTTCCTTCTTTATATTTGGTTCTCCAATTTTTCCTGAACTCCTATTGTATCGTGTGCATCTTCAAACTATGAAATAGAAAACAATGGATTTTGCCTAGTGGGCAAAATCTTTAAAATTTTTGGATCTAAGGAATGGTGGCTCACACTGTAATATCAACACTTGTGAGACTGAGGCAGGAGGATTGTCATGAGTTTGAGGCCAGCTTGAGTTAAATGTGAAGCTGTTCAAATACATAAACTTGGGTCTAGGATGATAAAATGTTGGAAACACTCTTAAAAATGGGACCTAAATGTAATAATTTCATTTTCTTTAACCATGTAGCCCAGAAATAATTAATAAAATGCTTTATGAAAAAGTTGATGCAGAGCTGGGTGTGGTCACACATGCCTTGAATTCAAGCACTCAGAAGGCAGTGGCAAGAACACAGGGAGTTTGAAGCCAGCCTAGCCTGCATAGTGACAGGTAGGCCTGGGCTACATAGTCAGGCTATCTCAAAAAATGTATAAATAAATATTTATCTAGACAAGGGCATATGCATACATATGCATTCAGTATATTGTGATAGTAATGATAAAGTTCATATATATATATATATATATATATTTTTTTTTTTTTTTTGGTGTTTTTGAAACAGGGTCCCCCTGTAGTCCCAGCTGGCCTGGAACTTGCTATGTAGATCAGGCTGGCTTTGAACTCATAGAGATCCACCTGCCTCTGCCTCCCAAGTGCTAGGATTAAAGGTGTGCGCCACCACACCCGGCCTAAGTTCTTATATTTTAAGAATCTCCATGTGTCAGTGGACGTGGTACTGGGAGTCTCATTTTCATTTTCATTATGCCTGCAGCTGTGAGAAATTCTGAGGAAGTAACTTTGATGAAAATACAGAGGCTGAGAGCACTATTCTACCCAGCACTAAAATGCCATCAAGGTTCCTGTGGGAGTCAGTTCTCTCCTTCTACTATGTGAGTTCCAAGGATCAAACTCAGGTTGTCAAGCTCAGCAGTGGCAAGCGCCCATGCCTACTGAGCCCCCTACAGGCCCCAGGGTTGGCTTTGTTGTTGTTTCCTGAGGTGCTGGGGCTTTTTGTCAAGCTCAGCAGTGGCAAGCGCCCATGCCATGGCAAGCGCCCATGCCATGGCAAGCGCCCATGCCTACTGAGCCACCTACAGGCCCCAGGGTTGGCTTTGTTGTTGTTTCCTGAGGTGCTGGGGCTTGCTAGGAAAGTATTCTCCCATTGAGCTACACCCTCAGCCCTGCGTCCGTGGTTTATTAGCTGGTTATGTCATAAAGAGGATGTACAATTAAATGCCCACTCTGCATTGTTCTATCTCTCTACCCCATGTTCCTCTTGGCTCCTCTCCCAGACATCCGGATATAATAGACACCCATCCTTTTTATTTTTAAGGCAGAGTCTCACTGAGTAATCTTGACTGGCCTGGAACTTTTGGCAATGCTCCTGCCTCTGCCTCCTCAGTGCTGGGATTACAGGTATGTGCCACCACATCCAAACAGGCACCCAGCCTTGAACATCACCCCAACAAATATATTCCTAATCCAAGATATGAAGCTTGCACCCTAAGAAACAGAAATGATCTAGAAGCTCCACAAAGAGTCAGGAGAAACTGGTTAGGTGAGTCACTCTCTCACACAACACCTAGACTGACTTTTCAACTCAAGGAAATTGAAGAAAGAAGCAGGACACCCAGGAGATTGCGAATCTGAATCCAGTTGTCCGTGTAGTGGATAAACCAGCCTATTCTTGATTGGGCCTGATGATCACTTAGAAAACTAGAGGAGAGGAAGTGAAATCAAGCCCATTCCAGTACCAGATCCTGAGCCTGTATCTCTTTCAGTGCTGCTGGGGATCTGGAACCCTGCCCAGTATGAGAACACAGCATCTGGAGGAACCTGCTCAGCCCTGTATGAGGATCCCACAGAGGAGACTGGAGTCTGGGGCCCACTGACTCAAAAAGACAGGAATGTTACCATCAGTGTCTGAGTGGATGACGTCGACGAACTGTGCATCGCCGGCATCTAACCTGTCCTGAGGAGGTCTGCCATTGAACAAAGGGCCAGCAGGGTCAAGACCTGAAAGGAAAACAGACAGGCATGGCAGTCCCACCCCATGATTCACTGGTCTTTGATCCCTCCTGAGAGATGGCTTACAGGCTGCAGGGCACACTTGGGTGGGTGAGCAGTTATCCCATCCTGCTGTCAGGACTCCTGTCACACAGCCTGTAGCTTTTCACACAGTGCCATGGTTACCCTGGCAGTGGCCCTGAGGAGGGCATGCAGGCTCCATGAGGAAGCCTGCTGGCTAGAGCTATACAGCAGGAAGCCACACAGGTGGCATCAGCAGGGGGTGGAAAGGCTCCTCAGGCAAAAGCACCTCAGGGAGCCTGAAAAAGAAAAGGTACTAGGAATTAACCCAGGACCTTGTGCATGAAGCATTCTGCCACTGAACTGCATCCCCAGCCCTTGGTTGTGTTGGTTGCTTGGGACAGAGTCCCATTATATAGCCCAGACTGTCTTGAATTAGCTATGTAGCCCAAGCTGGCCTTGAATGCCACATCCTTCTGCCTCAGTCTCCTGAGTGCTGGGATTACAAGTATATGTACATTACAACTCCTGGCATCTGTCCCATTTAGATGCTCTAGAAACCCTACCAGGCTCCACTTTCACTCATCCACTAGGTCATCTGAGCTCCTGGAAAAGCAGGAAGTGGCAGGGCAGTCATTCCCTGCCTTGAAGCCAGGGAGCTCATACATCCTGACTAGAACCCAGCCTCACAGTCCAGCCCCTCCATCTGCTGAGCTCTTAATGTCAGAGCACCGAGTTGAGCCAGCTCAGCAGGAATGGGTGAAACTCCCTGGTGAGGCCAGCCAGGGACAGGGACAGTTTTGGAAGAGGGTGCTCACATCCTGAAGATATGGCAGATGTCATCTATCCCATAATGCCTGAACTGGTTTCTTGGCCTTGGTCAGTGATAAAATAACTGGGAAAACAGGGGAACCGCTCTAACCACAAAATAAGAACTAAAAAAAGCCTGAGGCTGGAAGAGGTCCCACTCCCAAGAACCCTGTGCAAAAGGGGGATTTAAGGATATCTCCCTTGGAGTTTGACTATGTGACTTATGTTTAATTCATTGTATTTTTGTGTTAGGTGCTGCAGATTGAATTCAGAACGTCATGCATGCTAGGAATGTGCTCTAACACCTAGCTACTTACCTGGTCCCTCTGCCTCTGCATATAATAGCAATGGCATCTCCAGTCCCTGGTATTAACATATACAATCTACGAGACAGCGTCTTTTGCATGTTTCCCGTCTCCTTCGCCCCTATTGCTCTCCAGATTCCTTGAGACATGTATTCATCTACCTTCTTCCTCCTCTTCCACCCCCCAGATGCCTTCTGTCCTCTCCAACTGAAACTGGTGTGGGAGGATATGGGCCAACACCCAGGCACCCAAGGACACAGTTCTCAAGCCAGCAGGGAAACTCCACAGCCTTGTCTTCACAGCAGACAACACCTACCACTTTCTGTACCCCAAGAATATGCACTCTGTCTTACAGCTACTTCCTGATCCACGGCACCTGCCAGTCCACGGCAGGTAGAACATCTAGACCAGGGAAATGCTGAGAGTGGTAAGGGTTCTATTCATACAACAATACGAGAGGCACAAACCAAGACACAAACTTAGACTTGTGATAGTCATAGTGACAAGCTATGGCAAATGATCAGCTGAGAATTTCAGACAAAATATGTAGTCAAATTGCCCTAAAGCCTGCATACTCTGTGGGCAGAAGACAAGGAGCCCCAAACTCAGTTCTAACTAACTGTGTGGCCTTAGGCAGGTTGCTTTATGTCTACGAAACTTTGTTTATTTATCTTGCAAAATGGAGGTAAAATTATACTCCAGAATATTTTGAGATTATTACAGAATGCAGACTAGAAAAATGGAGCTCACGCTAATGGCTCCAAAATCACCAACAGTGGTGATTTCAGTGTTCCTTGGGTTTGAGTGCAGCATTACCTGGTTTGTGAGTTTGGCGAAGCTCTTGATCTCTCCATAGGAAAGACACTGATATTTTTGCTTTAATTTTAGGGACCTCTTATTCCTATCCCCATGGTCACCACTAATTCTCTAAAGCAGTGTTAATAAAAACTTAGTATGAAACACATTTGGTTTTTTGATCTGTTTTGTTTTTTGGTCTTTTGAGACAGGGTCTCCTTGTAGCCCCAGCTTACCTGGAACTCACAGAGATTCGCCTGCCTCTGCCTCCCAAGTGCTGGGATTAAAGGCGTGCGCCACCATGCCTGGCTATGAACTGCATTTGTAATGAAAATTTCTCTAATAGTCACATAAAATGTGGGCATGTGTGCGTAGCATGCATGTGTGTATATATATTGGCAAGCGTGAGGGTGTACGAGTGTGCACATGTGAAAGCCAGAGACTGACGTGAGGCGTCTTCCCCCATCACTCTCCACCTTATACATTAGGGTAGGGTCTCTCACTTGCACCCAGAAATCACTGGTCTAGCTAGTCCAGCTGGCCACCTGGCCCCAAGAACCCCATCTTTGCTGGGGTTACAGGCAGGCCACAACACTCACCCAGCACTTGTGTGGGTACTGGGGCTCTAAACTCTGGCCCTCACACTTTCATGGCAAGTGCTTCTACCTGCTGATCCATCTCCCTAGCCAATCTAAAATGTGTTTAAAGTAAAAATAAAATAAAAAGATGGATCGACAGTTGAGAGTGAGTGCTTGTTGCTCTTCCAGATAACCCAGGTTTGCTTCCCAGCACCCACGTCAGCTGCCTCCTGGCTGTTCAGTAGCTTCAGCTCCAGGTGATCCAATGTCCTCTTCTGGTCTCTGCAGGTATTTACACACAAGTTCACACACACACACACACACACACACACACACACACACACACAAATAAATTTTTAAATTATTTTTTAAAAATGAATATAAGGCTGGGGATATAGCTCAGTTAGTAGAGTTCTTGCCTTACATTCATGATACCCTGGGTTCAATTCCCAGCACAACTGAAAAATTAAATTTCCTTGGTCATGGCCTGGTGAGATTTGGCACCCAGAACCACCAGAAGCCTCAGCTCACCTCTGGCTGCCACGGTGTGGGAGGATGAAACCCAGGCCCTGACAAGCACCTTGGGGAAAAATTTTTATTTAAATTTAAAAAATAAGAATATATTTTAAGCTAGGCATGTGAGAATTTAGAAGGTTGATATAGAAAGATTTCAAATTCAAGGCCAGCTTGGGCTACAAAGGAATTAAAAACTAACCTGGGCTATGGAGTCAAATCCTATCTCAAAAAAACAAAAACAAGCTGGAGAGATGGCTAAGCAGTTAAGAGCACTAACTACTCTTGCAGAGGACCTGGGTTTACTTCTCATCACCCCCTTGGGGGCTAGCAACTGTCTGTAACGCCAGTTTCAGGAGATCTAATGCCCTCCGTGGGCATTACACACACGGTGCATTTACATACGTGCAGGCAAAACACTCATACACATAAAATAAAATAATTCAAAATACAGTGATAATACATTTGGAAATTTAAAGACCATTTTGTTTCTCTAGGTAATTTAGGTAAATGAGGCAATCTTGGCCTTTGGGGGAAAATGACAAGAAAAAAATATCCAGGACAAACAAGGTTATGGAAGGCAACACCAGCCAATGTTGGGGGTCGGGGGGCAGAGGGTGGGATGGCTTACTAAACTCAACCAGCACCCTCAGACTTGGGGCCCTACTTTGAGTCATTGCATTTCCCCTCCCTCCACAATTTTTAACTTCTAGCCCCCCTAAATTTCAAACATAGGTGTGAGGATGGGTTCTGAGCAAGGTGACTGGTAAGCTCTTGCAAGCTACAGCAGTTTTTGAGTGGCTGTGGAAAATCCCTAATCTCTAGGCAGAAGATCTTAGTAAGGGAGTCTTTGTTTGGGTTTGACCCGCTATATTTAGGAATGTTTTCATTCCGAGTTGGCTGGAAAGCTGATATTTGGAAAGTAAAGCCCAGACACCAACATTTCCATCTCATTTTCCTTCCATGAGACTCTAACAGTGCCTGAGGTTGCAGGGTGGTAGCTGTGTAGCTCTGGTCAACTGGTTTAACTCGAATGAAGAAGACTCCCTCAGGACTGGAGAGTTGGCTTAGCTGTTAGGCACACTGGCTACTCTTGCAGAGGACCCAGGTTCAGTTCCTAGCACCCATATGGTAGCTAACAACCATTTGAAACTCCAGTCCCAGAGGATCTGACCCCCTCTTCTGGCCTCCATGGGCATTGCACAACATGGTTGTACTTATATACATGCATGTCAAACATTCATACATATAAAATAAAAATAATTTTTTTAAAAAAAGACTCTGGGCATACACCAAATCTCTTTTCTAGCCATAAGAGAAATAAAGTAGCCACCAATCTTTTCTATGGCATACACAATTTGCAGTGTTTTACATATATTTTATTAAATAGTAGTCTAAGGTTAATATTATCTGGGACTTTCTTTTGTATAAAAAGACCCATGCTCAGAGTTTAAATAATTGGAAGAGCTTGCTTCCAAGTTAAGGACCAGGATTACATGCCCAGTGTCCCCAGAAAATACCTACCAGGCAAGACCCCTGGTCACTCATAGGAACCTTACCTGTGATTCTCCCCAGCTGCCCATTGTACATTTCTCCAACAAATCCAGATATGTGGGCTCCTAGACTTACTCCAACCATATAAATGTTGTCAAGAGAAGCTCCTTTAGCCTGGAATTTCATTAATAAATTGTGAGAGTCCAATAAATTTACTGTATTTGAAGATATTTCCTATCTGTTTACTTTGGAAAAATATTTCTAAGTACTTTGTATCTATCGTGTCAAAGCATTTTTTGTGTGTTTGTGTTTATCTGCATGCAAATGTGCTCAGATACATGTAGAGGCCAGAGGTCAAAGTCAGGCATCTTCCTCAATCACCTCCACTTTATTTTTGGAGACAGGGTCTCTTACTGTACCTAGAGCTTGCGGATTGAGCTAAACTAGCTGGTCAGCAAGCACTAGGGACTCTACTGTCTCCACCTCCCCAGCACTAAGATTCCAAGCTTACGCCGCTATGCCTGGATTTAATATGGATTCTGGGTAGAGAACTCAGGTCCTCATATGTGCACATCAAGCATTTACCAACGGAGCCATCTCAGTCTCTATTGTCTAGTTTAAATGTCAAAACAGGGCTAGCAGAGTAGATCAGTGAGAGAGCACTTGCCTGGCATGCTATAAGCCCTGGATTCATCCCCAGCAAGGTAGAACAAGAAAAAAAGTTACAACATCCTGCAATGTCAGTACTACATGTTGAATATACAAATGAGGAAACTGAAGCACAGAGTTGAAGTCATCAGAGTTGAAGTTGAGGTCACACAGTTGCGGGGGGCTCAGAGTAAGAGTCAAGCCAGGCTATTAAACCCAAGTTTGTATTTTATGGCATCTCACTCATAATTCAGCTAGAAGTCACGTGAAACATCTATTTGCGGGGGTGGGGGTGACAACACATTTTGATGAACTCCTTATCCTCATTCTGGATCAACTTAACATTGAAGAAAAAGAAAAAAGGGAGATAATGGGGAAGGATAGTCTGTGTGACCACTGGCTACTGGACAGGTTGTCCTGAGCCATCCAAATGTTCTCTGCTTAGTGGGAGCTCCTGCAAAACTCACATCACCACCAACCACAGTGGTTACCAGGTCTCAGTCTGTGAAACTGCCCTGATTTCATGTCACTTTTTTGTTATTGTTTAAAGGGGGCAATTCATGAGCTTACTCATTAAATAACAGCCTTCTAAAAACATAAATCATCCCATCAGACCACATGTTTCCATTCTGGTTTGAGATAATCTGGACTTTAGGCTGTGGCCTTTCTAGCAGAACAACTACTGAAGTTGAAAAAATCTTTAAGTATTTAACCAATAACCCCTAGACAGAGCCCCTTCTTCTCAAAGACACCTTCATATTAATTGCAAAAATATGCTCCTTTTATGAGGCTTTTTGTAATATGTGACATTATTATAAGAAACATAAAATCTACAATATTTAAAATGACACTATTGTCCCTGAAACTCCTTTCATATGCAGTGCACAATCTGCACAGTCATACCTCTGTGTCTACAAGCAGTCACTACCCATCTTCTCTGGGGCTTATTCAGATTTGCACAATGTTGCAAAATAGTTCCCCTGTCCAATGGAGATATCTCTTGGCTTTAAGCCTCCAAATAAGCAGTCAGTTTCAATTTGGCCAGGAATCATCCAAGACCAGTCTTTCTTACCAACATCTGGTCGATAAATTCCTTCAAGATGAGAGCCACTTTTCTGGTCTTGTTAAAGGCATGGGTGTATATCACAGTCGTAGCACCTCGATTCCAATCAACAACCACCACGTTCATCTCTTGCACATTCAACAAACCCTTTACCAAATTCTCCATCCAAACTGGAGGGGAGCCTGTTGGCCGGAACCCGTGAATAATGAAAGTGGTTTTCTTCGTCACATTCAAGTTCCCCAAATCCGTGGAATTGATGACTTGTGCACAGGTCTCATTTCTCTTTGTGTAAAGCATCAACCTCACATTTAGTCCCGTACCAACCACTGCACTGTGGAAGCTCAGTTTGGTGAAGGAAGGACATGTTTCATCTGTGTCTGGAAATAAAAAAATAGACATCATCAAGAGCTGGAGAGATGACTCACTGGTTAAGAGCACTGACTGGGCTTGCAGAAGACCCAGGATCAATTCCCAGCACCACATGGCAGCTAACAACTGTATGTAACCCTGGTTCCAGGAGATCTGACATATTCTTCTGACCTCTGCAGGCATTGCATGACACAGGTGCACTTACATACATGCTTTAAAAAATAGATTCATGCAGTTCTCCCTTAAGCATGACTTGTAAGCAAGATTGTGGTATCCACTTCCGGAAACTCCTCTGCTCCTGACAGCACCTGGCAAAGACCTAAATTTGGTGAATGAAGTTGAAAAGTTCTATTTCATCCAGCATTCCTAAGTAGTGACCTTCCTAAAACTATCCTCCAAATCCTACACTCCTTCAAGGTCTAATCCAAAAGTTAGCTCGGTGATGCCTTCTGTAAGCCTCCCAGTCATCAGCATGGCCTTATCCCTGAACTCCCCAAATACCTGTGTGTGCCTCACTGACGGCACAACAAAATCCTCTTTCAGGTGGTATTCTTGGTGTTATGTGCATGTGTGTGTATCCTGTGAGACTACAGTTTTCTTGAATGGTAACTTCTAACCTGTGTCCCTTCACGGGAACAGCACACCGTAGGAGACAGTAACCAAATCTTCATGGTCCATACACTTCTCTTTTTCAGCAGAATCCCTACCTGGAATGGTGATCAGAGTGTGGTGTGCCCTCCCCTGAACCTTTAAGTAGTATCTCAAACTACAGACCATGTCAGGTGTTCCTGGGCCCTTCTCTTCTGAGCTCCTCAAAGCTTTTCTTTCAAGCCTTCATTCCGCAGAACACGTACAAAGGATAGCCTTGGAAGAAAGTTGGATATTAGGAAGGGGCAGCACAAGATGAATTCAGAAGATCTTTTGATTGTCATTGTGTCAATGTGTAGCGCAGGCTAACTTTGAACTACCATGTAGCTCAGGCTCTCTTTGAGCTTACCATGTAGCCCAAGCTGGTATCAAATTTGCCACCCTCCTGTACTACCCCTCAAGTTCTAGGATTACAGGAATGCACTACTATACCTAGCTTAGGGTATCTTGCTAGGGTTATAGCTCAGTGGTAAAGTGTTTAAGATTGCTTTTTAGTCATCAGAGAATAAACAATAACTATATAGCAGAGAAACTGGGCAAATCTTGACTGAGTCATTGCACTATGATACCAACAGGGACATGTGGATATCATGTGCTTTATATCATCAGGCTCACGGTACCCCAGTTCCAGGGGGGAGGGGAAACTGACAACACAAAATGAGGAACAGACCTATCCTCCTGACAAAAGATCAGTGTGTATATATATATACATATATATACATATATACACATACATATATAACAAATTATAGAAGAAGGCTGTGGAAATATTCTAGATTAAAGAGGACCAAAGACAAGGTAAATGAATGCAAAACCTGGCCCTAGGCTTGATCTTGTGATAGAAGAAAAAAATGTAATGAAATAAGTCAGTTGAAAAAACTGGGATCTGGAACACTAAATCAAAGTGTGGCCTTAGTGTTAAATTGATTAAGTAGATAGTCATACTGTGGTTATAGAAGAATTCTTAACTCATAGGAAATAACTGAAGTATTTGAAGGGAAAGGCTCAAATGATTGGTGAGTGGCTCAGAAAATATTATAGATAGGTGGATAGTTAACAAATGGTAAAGTACATTTGGCAAATGTTAAGTATAAATCAATGTAGGACTTCAGTGTGGGCTCAGCAGTGGGGCACTGAGAATTCAAAAGAGAACCCATAAGTAAATCTATACAAAGGGCTATTGCTGTTCTGTACACTTAAAAAAAAATCTAGTAACTTTTCCTTTCCAAATAAGCTTAAACAGAAAGAACAAGGCAGAGCCACATCAGTGACAGACAGAGGAGGAGTTAGGCTTCGAACTCTGATATCAAGAAGCAAAGCAGGGCTGGGGGTGCAGCTCAGTTGTAAAGCACTTGCCTAACATGTGTGATGCTCTGGTTCAATCCCTAGTACTGTGAAATGAAGGAAGGAAAGGAGGGAGGGAGGGAGAGAGGGAGGGAGGGAAAGAGGGAGGGAGAGAGAGAAAGGAAAATAAAGAAAAAGATAAAGTAGACAGACACTCTAGTCTTCTCTTCCAAAGGGAATAGAAGAGATTTTTAAGTAAAAGAAAGGTCAAGTTGCAAGATGAAAGGTAAGAGAGAATAATGTAATGATCATGGAACCATATTATTTTACATAGAATTATTTAGAAACCATACTGTGACCCATCATCCCTCACTCTGCTTTCCTTAAGGAGAATAATTCTGTAGAAAGTGAAGTGCAAGGGTCCCAGTTCTGAGCCTGAGAGGGTCTTTCAGGGTGACCTAGAGAGGAGGTAAGGGATTACGGCCATTCTTGGGGGAGGGAAGAGAAGAGGAAGATTGTACCTGGGACACGTCTATTCTGACTTCCTCCAATGGGAATTTGAGAACCAAATGCTCTGGGCCCCTATATCTACACTTGTACAACCAAATTCTTACTTAATTCTGAACCTTCATGCTAGGGGTCCACGCCCACCCTTAAAAACCTGGATCTTGCCGGGCATGGTGGCGCACGCCTGTAGTCCCAGCACTTGGGAGGCAGGGCAGGCGGAGCTCTGTGAGTTCAAGGCCAGCCTGGTTTACATAGTGAGTTCCAGGACAGCTGGGGCTACAGGGAGACCCTGTCTCAAAAAGAACAAAAAAAAAATCCTGGATCTTTCATATATGCATTTCTTTGAAACTTTTTGCAAAGACTTTGTAACTTAGGAATGAGTGAATTCCAAAATACAATCAGCAAAAGAAGCAGAAATAGTTAAACACTAAGGGTGCTATGAAGCCCTTCACTAGAAAAGAGCTGTTTTCTTTTTTCCTTTCTCTCTCTTTCTTCCTTTCTATCATGTGTATGAGTATTAACTTGCATGTATGTAAGTACAATGCACCCATGCAGGCCTGCAGAGGCCAGAAGAGGGCTTCAGATCCCCCTGAACTGGAGTTACAGATGTTGTTAGCCATGATGTGGGTGCTGGAACTGAACCCGGGTCCTCTGCAAGAGCACCCAGTTCTCTTAACTGCTGAGCCATTTCTCTAGCACCATAAGGTGTTTTTTTGTTTGTTTGTTTGTTTGTTTTTACACCCACTTCCCAGATGGCACCCTCCCATGACCTCCCTCCCCTGACTAGAGCCCTTATACTCTGATATCCCTGCTACTGTCTGCTGCATTGTCGGCACCCCCAGCCATTCCCCACTACTTGCCCTTCTGGTGAATCTAGTCGGCCTATCTAGAGGTCTTTGTTTTAGGAAGGTCAGCTGTTCCTCATCTAGCGGTATCAGTTGCCAATATTCTTTTGGATAAGATTGGGGTCTGCTGTTCATTTTCCCAGTTCTACGCTGGGTTACTATCTGGGAATCTCTTTGGCCACCCTGGCCAACAACTCAAAAGAAGGTATCGCCTGTCTGGCACTGTTGCTTGTTAAGAGTTTTTGTTGTTGCTGTCCTTTACCCAGCAATCATTTAGATCTGTAGGCCAGTTGAGGCTTGGCTGATCTCAGCTGGGCTCTGCTGGGTGGTGATGTGGGGATCATCTGGGCTCCCTCACATGTTAAGGTCGTTTGAGGATCTGTTCCTCAGGGGTCACATGGGCTTGGGAGGAGCCCCTGGCTCCTTTCTTTTACCAGTTTCTGCCTATGTGAAGTCAAAGGTCCTGCTCGACCATAAGGTGTTTTATATTAAGCCCTAAACTCTCGCACATTTCTCCTTTTTACTCTGTGTAGACAAGCAACAGGTTGCAAGACATGCTCTCAAGGTAAACGCTGCTGTTGCCTCTTTTACTTCCTCTTCCAAGTAAGTACATGCTCCTTGAGAAGGTAGATTGCACTTTGCCTCTTACACAGCCCATCCCAGGGCAAATAACGGACTGTTTAATTTGGCATCTTGTTACACAGTGTCATGGGGTGGGGTTGAGCCTTTCTGGTCTTAACCATCATTAAAGCTAAGTTTTGTTCCAGTCTGTGTGACTGACTCACCGAGTGGCCACTTATCTGTCCAAAAGACCGATGTGGTTGAGATTAGTTTTGAATGAGGTCATGCTGAGGAGGACAGATGTCCCTTTCCTAAAAAGAAAACGAATGAATCACTAGATCACTTTGGGCTACGTGAGCAGTACTAGGATATTGGCAAGTTTAAGGCCAGCTACGTAGTAAGAGCTTGTTACAGGGGGAAAAAAAAAACAAACCTGTAGAGAACACAGTTTACTTTTCCATGGCCATTCCTGCCCCTTCACCCTGCTATCAGTTCATTTGAAACAGGAGCCATTAAACATGTCCTTCTCAGACTACTTTGAAATAACTCTTCTTCCTGGCCCATCCCATTGGATGCGCTCTTACAGGCTTAGGGACTCATCAGTCTGCCTAAAAATAAAGTCTTCTCTGAAGTGTTTGCAAAGTGAACTTTGCTCCAACCTGTCTTTCCTGCCCACTCTTCCCTCCTCCAGAATTCTTCACAAGCATTCCTGCCAGTAGAGCTCCTGGGTTTGTTCGTTGGTTTGGTTTGATTTGGTGGTTTTTTTGTTTTGTTTTTTCATTTTTTGGTTTTGTTTGGTTTTTAAGATAGTGTCTTACTCTGTAGTCCTGGTTGGCCTGGAACTCACTATATAAACCAGACTGGTTTCAAACTCACAGAGATCTGCCTGCCTCTGCCTCCCAAGTGCTGGGAATAAAGGTGTGCGACCATGCTGTTTGGGTTTTTTAATTACATTTATTTGGTAGGGGAGCACATGTGTGCCATGACACATGTGTGAAGATCAGAGGATGACTTTTAGGAGTCAGTTCTCTCCTTCCACTGTGTGGGTCCCAGAGATCAAACTCAGGTTGTCAGGCTTAGCAAAATGCTTTTAACCACTGAGCCATCTTGCCAGCCTACTTGGTTTGGTTTTTTTATTTCTTGAGAAAAGGAGACAGGATATCACTATATAACCAGGGCTATCTTCAAACTCAACATTCTCCTGCTTCTCCTGCTTCTCCCTAGTCCACAAATTATAGGCATGTACCACCATGCCTGGCTCCAAAATTAAACTTATTTTTTTACTAATTCTGTAGTGTTGGAAATCAACCCAGGTCCATATTATGCATGGTAGGCAAGCACTCTACTACTGAGCTGTATCTCCAGTTCCTAGAACTAAACATTTTAAAAAGAAAACAATGAACTTCCTAACATGGACATGTTACAAATGAGTCTAAGCTACTTGAGGACAAGTATTGCTGTTGATTTTGTTATTTTTGTCATTTTTCACATAAAACGTCTTCCCACTACTAGAGCTTGTCTTTTTGTTGGGTCCCAAATTCTCAACAATTTGGAGAGTACAAGCACTAGTTATCATGAGAAACAAATGTGTTCAGTGACTTCACCCATATAGAGTTTAATTTATGTTGGTATTTTTCAAGTTATGAACTATTTTTATGCTTCCCCCAAGCAAACAACTTTTGGGCTATTTTTTTGTTTTGCTTTGTTACAAAGTCAAGGTTACTCAGAGTGTAGCTAGCCAAACACAGAGCATGTTAAACAGGTTTTTAAAGCCTAACCTTGTCTTTCATGATTTATTTGAAAAAATGAGAAATTATCCTTTTCAGACTACTTTGAAATTCATTTACTCTGAAATAACATTTCTTCCTGACAACTAGAAAATTACAATTAAATGGACTATGTCTGCAGCATCCTTTGATGAAGACTGAATTCTGCTCAGAGAAGGCTTAATTATTATTTGTCACCTTCTTTTTCTGATGTTAAAAGAAACAGGTTCAGGGGGCTGGAGAGATGGCTCAGCGGTTAAGAGCACCGGGTGCTCTAGCAGAGGACCTGGGTTCAATTTCCTCACACCCAATGGTGGTTAACAACCTTCTGTAACTCCAGTTCCAAGGGATCTGACACCCTTTTCTGACCTCCTCCGCTATTACACGATACGGGTGTACTTACATGCATGCAGGCAATATACTCATACACATAAAAAATAAATAAAAATAATTTGATAACCATTAATTTCTTATCTTCCTGTCTCTATCTCCTGAGTGCTAGGATTACAAACATGTGCTACCCTGGCTAGTGTGTATGGTGCTGGAGCTCAAAGCCAGGACCTCATGCATGCTAGGCAAACACTCCGCCAACTGAACAACATCCTCAGCTTCTGTGAAGCATTTTCTTATAATCTGGTCATATCTGTTTGCATATTATCCATGGATGTTCTCCTGTCTAATGGCGGAGTTGAGTACTCATGAGCTTTAGCTCACAAAGTTGGCTAGTTACAGAAAAAGTATGCCAACTCTTCTCTAATGTCTTAATAAAAATGCAACACAATATTGGAAAGAGCTTGGGTTTGGGAGTTAGGCCTAGGTTTGAGCTCCAGATAATCAATGTGAGCCCAGATAATCAATGATCCAACCTAAGTCTCAACTTTGCATTTATAAAACAACAATAATAATGCTAATTTCTCAGGCAGTGCCACACAGAGCCATGTTGAATTTGAAGCCAAAAACATGCATCCTTACATACACGTGATGGTTTGAATGTGAAATGTCTACAGGCTCATGTGTCTGAACACTTGTCCCCAAATGGTGGCACTGCTTTAAGGGAATGTGGAACCCTTGGGAAGTATGGCGTAGCTGGAGGAAATGGGTCACTAGGGGCAGGCCTTGAGAATTAGAGGACTGGCACACTTCCCACCCAGCTTTCTCTGCTTCCTGATCGGCTAGGATATAACAAGTTGTACCATAAGCTCCTTGCTCCATGGGACTGACAAGAGTCCCAAGCCATCATGCCTTCCCCACCATCTTCTCACATCACAAGCCAAACGAAACCCCCCCGCCCAAAGTGGCTTCTGTCAGTATTTTTTCATGGTGGCAAGGAAAGTAATTCAATGTACTTATCAGAGAGTTGAGGATATAGCTCAGTGGTAGTGGCAGCATGTTTGAGGCCCTCAGAATACATCACACACACACACACACACACACACACACACACACACACACACAGACACACACACCCCTCCCCCTTTTGATATTTTGAACCAACTGGAAAAAGTTCATAAAGGCTCTGCCAAAAAGAAAAAAAAAAGCGGGGAGAGAGCCTCTATATAAAGCCCAATGTGAGTCAGTTTGTCTACACACAATTACCAACACTCATAAACTTCTACACAAGAAGTGAGGACAGTCTGGGCCGCCCAGCAAGGAACAGGTGGCTGATTAGAAACGACTTTTTTCATTTCACAGTAATACTGAGTGATTAAAAAACTAGCCTATCTTTAAGTAAACTTTTGACATTTTGTTCATCATGGATTTATTTGCAATGATTTGATATTTTAAATGTTGTATTAAAATATCACTTATCAGGCCAGTGAGATGGTGCCTGCTGGCAAGATTGACCTGAGTTTAATCCCAGGTCCTCTGACTTCCACTAATCAGCTGCGGTATGCATGTACACACACATACACATAGGTACACAAAAACAAAATTTTAAATGTAATTAAAAAAAAATTTATGTGTATGAGTGTATTGTCTTCATGTAGGTAAGTGCGCCCGTGTTGTGCAATGCCTGTGGAGAACAGAAGAGGCCATCAGATCCCCTAGAACTGGAATTACAGACAGTTGTTAGCTGCCATGTGGGTGCTGGGATTCAAACCTGGGTCTTCTTCAAGAACAACCAGTGTTCTTAACTGCTGAGCCATCTCTCCATTTTTTTTAAATGTAATTAGAAAAAATATTGCTTCTCTTGATTACCGAGCTTGGGTGTCCCCACTCTCCTCAAGTATTGCACCTGAGAGGGCCCCCCATGTCATTTAATCCCCAGCCTTTCTGTCAGGGTAGTTCTAAGAATTAGAAATATTGCCCATGAGGTAGCCAGAGCACTATCTGGTACATAATAGATGCTTAAAAGCTAGCAATTGTTGATGATGTTTTTTATAAACTAGGATAATACTATATGTCACACAGGGTTTTATGAAGACAAGTGAAATAAGGCAAGGTGAGCCTGATGGGATCTGAAATATGCTAGACAAGCACTATACCCTTGATGTACACCTCCTGCCCCTTCAGCATCATTGAAAAAATATTTATTTTTAATTATGTGTATGTGCGAGTGTATGCCACTTGTGTGGGGGAACTCAAGGACGCCCACTGAGAGTGTCAGATCCCCTGACCTAGGTGCTGGGAACCAAACTTGGGTCCTCTAGAAGAGCAGCAAGCACTTTTAACTGCTGAGCTATCTCTTCAGCCCCAATCACTTAACTGTTATTTTTGATGTTAATCTCTTACTGAGCAATAAATTCAGCTCTATCATTAGTGTGTATATGTAGGAAAAAACAGTATATACAGGAGTTGGTACAACTCATGATTTTAGGCATCCACAAAAAGTCTTAGAACATAGCCTCCAAGGACCAGGGAGACTACTGCAAGCTATATTCTCTGGAAAATATTTACTTAGTTTTATATAGACCAAATATGGTAGAGTAACTTTAATACTTTTGACAAGTAGACTTTATTTAGAGCCATATTTACAAATGTGTGTTCCTTGGGGTAACTGCAGCTGAAAACTCTTTGAGGGATTGTTAAAAAATGCATATTCTGGGGCCTGGTGGGATGGTTCAGTGGTTAAGAACACTGACTGTTCTTGCAGAAGACCCAGGTTCAAATCCCAGCACCCACATGGCAGATAACAACTGTCCATAATCCAGTTTCAGGGGATCCGATGGCCTCTTCTGTCCTCCGCGGGCATTGCACGACATGGGTGCCCTTACCTACATGCAGGCAATACACACATACGCATAAAATAAAAATAATAAATCATTTTTTAATTAAAAAATACATCTACTGGAATATTATTCCACTGAGTCTAGATCTTTGCATAGTAATAGTCATGCCTCAGCCTCCCAAGTGGAATTACAGGCATAAGCCACCATGCCCAAGTTGAATCTCTGCATTTTTAATCACACTCTCTCCCAGTGGTTTGAGTGTAGTTTAGAATTTGTTAGCTGTTGCCACACTCATTGGTAAGATTTTGGCAAAGATTCCTAGCCTGACTTCTCAGAGATCTCTAGAAGTGAATAATTTATATATGTGAGATTTCCAAATCTCTTCGGTTAGCCATTTCTGCTATCATGCTCATACTCTCCAACTCCTGCCCTGTGGAAGTTACAAGCACTTGGCTTTCTAGACATGGAATGGTCTAGGTTTAGCTTACAGCTATAATTAAGTTTTTCTTCTTCTAGATTCCAAAGTTTAACATTATGTGTCTTCATTGCATAGAGTCTGTCATGTAGCATCAGTCCTCCAGAATCATTTAAAATAAGACTTTGCAGCCAGGTGTGGTGGCGCAAGCCTTTAATCCCAGCACTTGGGAGGCAGAGGCAGGCAGATCTCTGTGAGTTCAAGGCCAGCCTGGTCTACATAGTGAGTTCCAGGACGGCTGGGGCTACAGGGAGACCCTGTCTCAAAAAGACCAAAAAAAAAAAAATTTTTTTTTCTATTTCCCTTCTAAACTTTATGAGCATACCTACATGGTTTTAATATAGTCCTAATTATAGTTTACAATTTTGAGTTCTGCTGTTCTCTCCTTTATATTATTTTATTTTTCACTTTAAAAATACATTATTAATTGTGTGGGCGTGCATGAGATGTGAGGGAGGGTGCACATGCCATGCCTCACACATGTGAAGATCAGAGGAGAACTTTGTGGGAATCTCTTCTCTCCTTCCTCCTTTACTTGAATAATGGGGATCAAGTTCAAGTCACCAGGCTTGAGGAGCAAGGGCCTTTACCTGTTGGGCCATCTGGCCAGCGTCTTTGTATTATTTTTAAAACATGTTTGGACCTTTCTGAAAAGTAAAGTAATCTTGAAGACTGCTTCCCTTTTTTTTCATTTTCTTTGTGTGTGTATATGTGTGTGTGCTATACACATGTATGTGCATACATGTTAATATGTGTGTACACATGTATGTATGTGCACATGTATATGTGTATTTGTGCATGTGGAAGCTAGAGGCTGTCAAATGTCTTTCTCAGTTGCTCTCCACCTTATACATTGAGGCAGGATCTCCCACTTGAATTCAGAACTTACCAATTCCGCAAGCCTAGCTACCCAGCCTGCTCAGGGATCCTCTGTCTCTGTCTGCAGAGCTCTGGGACTACAGGAGGGCCTCTATTCCCACTAGGCACTTAGATGAGTTCTGGGGATTCAAACTCCATTCTTTACAATTGCACAGGAGTGCTTTACCCACTGAGCCACCTTCTCGATCCTAAAGATTACTTTCTTTAAAAATTAGTTTAATAATGGGGCTGGGGTGATGGCTCAGCCTCTGACTTTTGGGTTTACAGTGGCTTGTGTGCCCACACACATAAAATAAATAAATAAATGTAATAAATGATTTAATATATTATACTTTATCCATTCCTGGAGTATACACATTTCTGTTCTGTCTAGTTATAAATCATCATAAGTAGCATGGACATCTTTACATTTGAGGCTTTCTTCTTTTTTATTTTATCTTATTTATTTTATGTGTATGCGTGTATTGCCTGCATGTAGGTAAGTGCACCTGTGTCATGCAATGCCTGCAGAGTATAGAAGAGGCTATCGGATCCCCTGGAACTGGAGTTACTGACAGTTGTTAACTGCCATGTGGGTCCTGGGATTAGAACCCGGGTCTTCTGCAAGAACGACCAGCTCTTAACTGATGAGCCATCTCTTCAGGCCTGCTTTCTTTTTTGTTGTTGTTGTTGTTCTTGTCTTTTTGAAGCAGGGTCTTCCTGTAGCCCCAGCTGGCCTGGAACTCACTTTGTAGACCAGACTGGCCTTGAACTCACAGAGATCCACCTGCCTCTGCCTCCCAAGTACTGGGATTAAAGGCATGTACCACCACACCTGGCCTGCTTTCTTATTTTTAAGGTTATTTCTTGGGGCTCAATAGTCAAGTGTTTGCCTTACACACGTAAGGACCTAGGTTTAAAACCCAGCACCTTCCTGCCACCCCTCCTCCAGTTATTTCTTTAGAATAAATTTCCAGCAATGATGTTGCTAGCCAAAAGAACATGAATATTTCTACCAGTCTAGCTATTTTCTCCTTGCCCATTAAAAAAACTGTATCAATTTCATTATCATAAGCTATAGGTGAAAAAGACCAAGTTCCTACGTCTGAGAAGTGTGCTTAAAAACATTTCATTCATTTTTGTTACCTGACCAGCTATGTTAATATTTTTTAATATTTTTGTTTATTATTTTTATTTTATGTGTATGCGTGTATTGCACCCATGTCATCCAATATCCGACGAGGTCAGAAGAGGGCATTAGATCCCATGGAACTGGAGTTTCGGACAGAACTGAACCCAGGTCCTCCACGAGAGCAATCGGTGCTCTTAATTGCTAAGCCATCTCTCCAGCCCTTTCTGTTAATACTTTAACTGTGATTTCTTCATTATCTTTTTGATGGCGTTGGGGATTGAACTCAGAGCTTAAGTTAGAAATATGCCAGGCACCATTGTAAGAAATTTATGTACATAGATTATGGTTTTTTTAAGAATAATTTAAATGTAGCCTCAATGCATGAAAGTATGAAAGTATAGAACCTTGGCCTCTAGCAAAAAGCAAACAGAAAAAAAAAAACAAGGAAAAATTACCTTGTCTATGTGAAGCATCATAAAACAAATCTCTACATTTTCAAAAAAATAAGTTACAAAAAACAAGAAATGAAAAAATTAAAAACAGCAAAACAAACAAAAAACAAAAAGAAAGTGAAAAAAAAATTTTTTTTTAAATCCCAGCACTGGGGAGGCAGAGGCAAGAAATCTCTGTGAGTTCAAGGCCAGCCTGGTCTACATAGTGAGTTCCAGGCCAGCTGGGGCTACAGGGAGACCCTGTCTCAAAAAGACCAAAAAACAACAACAAAAAAAAAGCAAAAAAATAAGTCATCTAATTCCACATAGATGGAAAGACACAGAAAACTTGCTATGAAGAAACTAGTGCTACCTTAGCTTTTCAGCATATTTAACCTTTGTATATAAGAAAAAGTTGCTGGGCATGGTGGTGCACGCCTTTAATCCCAGCACTCATGAAGCAGAGTCAGGAGGATCTCTCTGAGTTCAAGGCCAGCCTGGTCTACATAGTGAGTTCCAGCCAGCTGGGGCTACAGGAAGACCCTGTCTCAAAAAGACCAAAAAAAAAAGAAAAAGTTAATTTAAAAAAAAACATCTTTTATGATTGAAAAAAAATTTCAGCATTAGAAAGTTCATTTTACCCATGTCCTCCTCCCTTAAAAATGCTCATATAGAATTTTTAAAGTCCACTAATTAAAAAAATATATATAAAAAAAATGTTGATTAAATGACCTACCTGATTTCACTAAGCCCATCAAACTGATGAGAAAGTAAAGCCTCAGCATCGGGAACCTCGACAGAGCGATCATAAGGAAGGTATCCACTCCGAAGAGCTTTGACTTTCCACTTGGGGTTCGGGCTTTGCTCCCGGGAAACTCAAGCAACTGCTCAGCAGGTGACAACAGGAAGTTCCCAGCCAGGGACCGTAGCCGGTTCCAGCCGGACGAGGAACTTTGACTCCGCCTCTTTGCAAGGTCAAGTACTTCCTACCTTGCACAGTTTATGCATACCTTAATGTTTAATTTGCATTCGAAGACGATGAGTTCAAAAGTTTCATTCTCTGTGGGCGGTTTACTAGCTGTTTGGCTGGGTGTGTTGAAATCCCCTGGGATTTGAGATCCTTCCTCCCAGGAAGGAATGAAATGACACATCCAGAGAGCATTATGCTTCTCTGTGTATACAAAGCTACCTTTTATGCTAATTCATACAGGCATTCCTACAGAGCAGCCTCTAGATTTTTATGAAGAACATTTCATTAGGTCCAATTATTATACATCTGTGCTTACAAAAATATATGTCAGATTAAGGGAAATTCTTTGTACTTTATATCTTTATTTTTACTTTTTTCTATCCAGAGTCCCTGATTTCCTAAAAATCCTTCTTTTTTAAATTTTAAAATATTTTTTATTTTTATTTTATGTGTATGTGTGTGCTGCCTGCATGTAGATAAGGGCACCCATGTCCTGCAATGCCTGCGGAGGACAGACGAGGCCATCGGATCCCCTGGAACTGGAGTTACAGACAGCTGTTAGCTGCCATGTGGGTGCTGGGATTTGAACCCAGGTCTTCTGCAAGAACAACCAGTGTTAACCGCTGAGCCATCTCTCCAGCCCCCTTTTTAAATTTTTATTACATTTTATTTGTTTGGGGTAGGCATGCATGCTGTGGTATCCCCACCTCCCCCCAACCCTGCCCTCACTACCACCACCATGTAAATTTCAGAGATCAGACTCGTGTGTTCAGACGTGGTGGCAAGCACCTTTCTTTGCCCACTAAGTTACTTCACCTATCCAGTTCATCCTTTTTTAAATAAGGAAGACGTAACTGAAAAGACATAAATGCAGAACCATGCCAGAATGTATCTACCTCAGTGTTAGAAGGAACTGAATGTGCAGCTATCAGGTGATGGTGGTAAGGGGTAGCTCAGCAGCAGAGAGCTTGCCTAACCTGGGAAGCCCTGGGGGTGGGCAACAACTACTGATGGCAACCTGTGGTCGTTTTTGTGTTATTACTAAGGGCTAGGGCTCAGAAGTTCCACTTTAACTTTAGTAAGAAATACCAAATATATAATATTACAAAGTAATTTAATACTCTTTCTAGTGAAAATGCTTATAATCTAGGCTGCTGGTTGTCTTGTGAACTTAAAAATAATAAAGACAAGAAAGCCACATTGTCATCCAAAGCAGGCAAAAAGTCTATCGTCAGTTAGCACTGTGTATATAGAGTGTGTGTTTATGAAGCCACAGCATCTTGATCTCACTGTGGTGGTACGTGCCTGTACTCCCTGCTCTCAGGAGGCAGAGGCTGGAAGATTGCACGTTTGAGGTCAGCCTGGGCTACGTAGACAGACGCTGTCTTAACAAACAAAAAGGGACAGCATCTCTCGTGTAACTTTTCCATTTTCTCTGTGTCTATACCCGCTAATAGCGGCAGACTCCTCCGCAGGCAGCCGTTTCCAGCAATGCTTCTCAGAGTCAGTACGTCATCCCACCTGGAGGGCTTTTTAAAAGTACTGTGTGTGTGCTGGGCAGGGCATGTAGCACCAGCACTCCGGAGGCTGAGGCAAGAGGATATCAAGTTCAGGAGCCAACCTGGGCTCCATAGCAAAACCCTGCCCCAAAAAGAAAAGAAAAAGTAACACGCATACATTTGTGTGTCACAGCTCAGAAATAACGAATGCCAAGACTGCCTAGTGCTGGTCCACTAATCTGAGTTCAGTCCCACATCTTCCACTCACTACCTGCGTGGCCTCAATAAACAAAACATTTAAATTCAAAGTTTTCCCAACTGTAAATGGTAAGATCACGCAACAGGCAGGGTTGCTGCGCCTCTTACCACTGTTTCTGTCTCCCTTGTCAGACAGCTGGCACCATCGTCCCGGTCATCAGAAGGCAGGCTACTCAGAGAGAAGGGGCTTCCGGAGGGACCTGAGGAATGAAGGGCTCAGAATCTTTTCAAGTGAAACACGGTAGTCACCACTTCAGTCTGTTTCTATTTTTGCCTCCTGGTTAGAAATTAATTAAGGAAATAGGAAAATCAAATCGACCACCTGCCAGCTCTTCTCTCTTTACACTTGGCCTATGCCTTACTTGTTTGAAAATAAGGGCTCTCTGGAGCACGTGGAGAATTGTTCTGTTTTAGGACCCTGCTATGGAATGTATGTTGGATTCCTATCCGTTTTAAGTGCTTATCTAAACAAAACCAATGTATGGTTTTTTAGGAAACTAGCCAATTGTAGGAATAAGCTTCTGTCCTGTTGAGAGGTCTTTTTGTGTTATTGCCAATGATTATGTCACAGAAGTTCCTCCAGCTTCCTGGCTGGGTGCTCCTTTTTCCTTCCATCATTCAAAACAACACAAAAACCAATGGAAGATCCTATCCTTTCTTCTTAAGCAGAAAACATCAAATATGTAATAAGAAAGCTAAGCACTTACGGGAGTTTTATCCCACATAAAGCCGGGTGTGGTGGCACACGTCTGTAGTCCCAGTGCTTGGCAGGCAGATCTCTGTGAGTTCAAGGCCAGCCTGGTCTACATAGTGAGTTCCAGGACAGCTGGGGCTACAGGGAGACCCTGTCTCAAAAAGACAAAAAAAAAAAAAGATTGCTCTGAGCAAAAAAAAAGAAAACTACCCGTAGAGATGAGGAGAGAGGAGAGAGGAGGTATGACTGTAAAAGGATGCCACAAGGGGTTTTAAATGCTTGGTAGTACTGGGGATGGGAGTCAAGGCCTCTGATATGCTGGGCAAGTGCTCTACTGTCCAGCTATTTCTCTAGCCCCAGCATCTTGTAATGATGGTATAGCTCTGTACCTTAATTGTTGTAGTTATAGAAATCTAAGCAATAAGACTGCATGATCATACATACACTTTTGCACACATGCACCTGTTATGCTGATAGTCTAAATTTGATCTATGTTCCACCAATGTAAGTTTTCTGGTTTTGATAACACATTACTAGTCACATAAGATGTTACACTGATGAAAATATGACCTCCTTGTACAGTTTTTCAACTTCCAGTGAACCAATAATTATTTCAAAGTAAAAGATGTTTTAAATGTTTAAAAAATGAGTTAACTTGGACTGGAGAGATGACTAGGCAGTTAAGAGCACTGACTACTCTTGCAGAGGACCCAGGTTTGATTCCTAGCAGCCACATGGTAGCTAAAAACCATCTGTAACTCCATTTCCAGGGAATCCAATGCCTTCTTCTGATCTCTGAAGACATTGCGTGACACAGGTGCACTTACACTCATGCAGGCAATATGCTCATACACATAGAATAATAAATTAAAAAAAAATTTTTTGGTCTTTTTGAGACAGGGTCTCCCTGTAGTCCCAGCTATCCTGGAACTCACTATGTAGACCAGGCTGGCCTTGAACTCACAGAGATCCGCCTGCCTCTGCCTCCCGAGTGCTGGGATTAAAGGCGTGCGTCACCACGCCCGGCCTAAAATTTTTTTAAATGGATCAACTCATAATCATTTGAAAGGATATTTATTTAAAGGTATTCTGAGGAAACTACATCTTTATCTCTATCTGCTAACATTTTCTCAGTCCTATAACCCTAAATGTCCACAACTCAAGATACCACTATTTTCATCCTTCCAAACTATTATTATTAATTATTATTTATGGGGTTGTTTTTGTTTGTTTGTCTAGTTTTCTGAGATGGTCCTATGTAGCCCAGGCTGGTCTCAAACTTGCTCTGCAGTCAAGGCTGGCCTTGAACTCCTGATCCTCCTACCTCAGCCTCCTCTGTGCTGGGATTATAGGTGTGAGTCACCATGTCTGGTTCTCCAACCTAGCTTTATATAGTATGCACTAGTTTGTTGTTGTTGTTGTTGTTTTAACCTAGAAATCACATAGAGAAGAGCAGAAAGGGACAGGCAAGCTTTCAAATGTGTGGGCAGGAGAAACGGGCATGGAGATGTAATGGAACTAGAGAGAGGTAGTTTTATAACTCTCATTAGTTTCGACAATCAGAAAAGTTGACCTATGTCCCCACCCACCCTGGTCTAGGGCCAGTTGGTATATGACTCATTACAGTGCCCTTTGTGCTCTTACTTGTAGTAAAAGTCTAGAAAAGTAAGTCTAGGCTGGCCAGTGGTGGTGCACACCTCTAATAAGAGTACTCAGGAAGCAGAGGCAGGTGGGTCTCTGTGAGATCTAGACCAACCTGTTCTGCCTCTCGAGTTCTGGACCAGCTGGAACTACAGGGAGACCCTGTCTCAAAAAAAAAAAAGAAAAGTTTGTTTCCTCAACTCATAGCCTATAAAGAGATTAGAGTAGTGGTCCTCCAAACCATACATTTTCTTTCTTTTTCCTCCTTCTTTTCTTGTTTCCTCTCTCCCTCCCTTCCTTCCTTTCCTCTTTACTTCCCTCCCTCCCTCTTCCCTTCCTTCCTTTCAATCGTTTTAAGTTCTTGGATTTTGTTTTCGCTTTGCTTTATTGTTTGTTTGAGTTTGCAGTCCTGGGGACTGAACATTAGGACCCTGCAGTTCCCGGCAGGTACTCTCCAACTAAGCTACATTCTCTACCTCTCTTCACTTCCTTTCCCCTTCCTTCCCTCTCATCTCCTCCTTCCCCCTCCCCTCCGTTTCTCCCTTCCTTCCTTCCCTCCCTTCCTCCAGCCCTCCTGCCCTCCCTCTCTCCCTTCATTCTTTCTTATCTCCCTCTCTCCCTTTCTTTTGGATTGACTCTAAGTCCTGGGGCGTGCTAGACAATTGCTGTAACAGTGAGCTACACACGCAACCCTTTTGAATTTTATCTTGAGTCACAGTTTTATTAAGTTGCACTGACTAGGAGCTGGGGAGTTG